AACCCAACCTCACCCCCAGACCCCACACCTGTTTTTTTGTTTGTTTTTGTTTTTGCTTTTTTTTTTTAAGCCCACCATGAGTGTTTCCAACAGCGACACGTCCTGCAGGTAGCGGCAGACGTGGAAGAGAGTGGCGTAGCTGCAGTGCTGCCGCGCCAGGGCAAACGGGGCTGCTACCGACGCACGCAGGGCGGCCGAGGGGTCCTGTGGCAGTGGTGGAGAGTGGGGGAGAGAGAGAAGTAAGGGTTGGGCGAGAAGAGAAGGTGCGGAAGAGTGGGGTGGCTGCAGTGCTGCCGCGCCAGGGCCACACGCAGTGCGGCCGAGGGTTCTGTGGTGGGGGGGAATGGGGGGGAGAGAGAGACGAAGGGGACGGGAGTACGAGAAGGTGTGAAAGAGAGAACATGAGAGGGCAGGGCAAGGAAGGGATTCCATGCCCAAAGGAACAAGAAGCAGAAAGGGAAGGGCAAGGAGCCAGCCCATGAGTTTTTTCATGCTTAAAGAATCAGATCAGACCACAAAGAGGACGAAGAAATGGAAGACGCAAGTCCACATACGAAGCACGTCAATCACACAGCGATAAATCATATCAAGCGCAAGCAAACCGGGCACACACATCCGACGCCTCTGCTGCATTGATCGCCCTCTGCACGCGCACGCTCAGCAGAAAGTCCCTCTTCAAGAAATACTCCTCCTCAAGCACCTCCCGCTCCTGCTGCTGCTTTTGAGTGGACTCACACAAAGGGAGCATGTACCTCTGACGCCTCTGCTGCTCCGATCGCCCTCTGCACGAGCACGCTCAGCAAAAAGTCTCTCTTCCAAAAGTACTCCTTCTCAAGCACCTCCCGCTCCTGCTGCTCCTCCTCCCCCTCCTGCTCGCCCTTGCCCGCCACATCCCGAGCCTCGAGCGCAGTGGCAAAGGCAGACAGGAGGAGCGAGGAGAGGGAGAGGGAGAGACGGTGGAGGAGGGACAATTGGTCCTCGTCCCACTGTGCTGTGGACCTGCGGAGGGGGAAGGGGAGAGGGAGGGGAGAGGGAGGGGAGAGGGAGGGGAGAGGGAGGGGAGAGGGGGGGAGAGGGGGGGAGAGGATAGGGGGGTGGAGGAATAAGTTTTGAGTCTAGTCGAGAATCAGCTTGGCCCTCGATTCACTCTGGTGTAGACCTAAAGAGGAGGAGGGGTGGATAGGAGAGGTGTGGAAGATAAGTGTGCGATGTTGGATGGGGCAGAATGAGGAGGGACGAAAGAGGAACGGAAAGGAATGTGCGCATCCGGGGGAAGGGGGAGAGGGGGGGGGTGGTGGGGGAAGAGGAAGGGGAAGGGGAAGGGGAAGGGGAAGGGGAAGGGGAAGGGGAAAGGGGAAAGGGAAGGGGAAGAGGAAGGGGAAGGGGAAGGGGAAGGGGAAAGGGGAAGGGGAAGGGGAAGGGGAAAGGGAAGGGGAAAGGGAAGGGGAACACAACAAAAAGCGGTAGGATAATCTCTCAAGCAGGTGGACAGCTGCTCACTCCAGATGAATGAGAGTGGCTACTAGCGATCAGACTGCAGCCCTGACTGACAGCACCACTGCACACCCAAGGCTCTAGAGTCGACAGTCGACACCAGAGTGGTTCTTGGCTACAAACTTACTCCAGTTGAATTAGAGTGGCTACTAGCGACCAGAGTGCAGCCCTCACAGCACCACTGCACGCCCACGGCTCCCACCGCTCTACCCACCGCCACATATCCCCTATCCCTCCTCCTCCGCCGCCTCCTCTCACTCTTCCTCCTCTCACTCCCCCCACTCCTCTCCCTCCCCTCCGTTTTCTCCCTCGTCCCTTCGCCCTGCGCACCCCCCCTAGGTCCGACCCAGCCAGCCGCCCCAGGTCCGGGTACCACCGAGCCTTGTCGGTTCGGTACCGATCCGCTGCGCCGAGGCTGCCCACTGCTGCTTCGACCAGAGTGGCCGCTCGGGCCAAGTGCCTGCGTGCAGCTGCTGCTGCCGCTGATGCAGATACGCCCACGCCTGTAGCAGCAGCAGCAGATGTGGCAGCAGGAGGTGGGAAGTGTGACGGAGTGGAGAACGGAGAGGGAGAAGGGAAGTGCGAGAGGGTAGGTGTTCCAGGGGCAGGGGTAGTGAGGTATGCAGGTAAAAAAGGGGAACCTGCTGCTGCTGCTACTGCTGCTGTTTCGCCGGTGCCGGTGCTGGGGTCTCCCTGAGCTTCGTTGAACTTTCCTGGTGTAAAAAGGGCCGGTTTCTTGCCTGACTGCGTCACCCCAGCAGCGCCAGCAGCACCAGCAGCAGCAGCGGCTGTCATAGTAGCGGCACGATTTCCCGCAGCCCAAGCGTCGTCCTTCCTCCCCCTCTCCACCGCCCCAGCAGCATCCGAAAACGCGGCAGCGAGAGCAGAGAAAAACTCCAGACCAGCCTCCGAAGTACGAGCAAAGAACACCTGGCTTCGATCCCGCTCCAGCAGAAACACACTGCCTCTCCGAATCCTATCCCCCGCATCCTGCACCACACGCCACAGTGACGTCGCGGCCACCTCTGCTGCCTCCCTCTCTCTCTCCATCCTTGCTTCTTCCCCCACTTGCTCATCATACCCCTCCCCAGCGCGTGCTGCTGCGGCAGAGGCTGACGTGGGAGTCTGGGGCAAGGGCGAGGCCGCTTTGGGTGCAGGCGATTGCAGGTAAGGGGAGGCGAACGGGGAGGGTGAACCTTGCCTTTGCATCTGCTGCTGGTGCTGCTGCTGCAGCTGCTGTTGCAGGTTGGAAGCGGTGGCAGCAAGTGAGGAGTGCAGGGTCCTGAGGTGAGCCACAGCGGCCAGCCGCTCCCCGTGCTCCAGGATCAGCTGCAGGGCGAGGGCTGTGAGAGGGTAGGTGGAAAGGGAGGCAGGGAAACACAGAGGGGGGAAGGGGGTGTGGGGTCAGGGGGGCAGGTTGGTGAGCCACAGCGGCCAGCCGCTCCCCGTGCTCCAGGATCAGCTGCAGGGCCAGAGCTGTGAGACGGTGGGGCGGGAAAAAAGAGGCAGGAAAAAAGAGGCAGGAAAAAAGAGGCACGGGAGGGAGGGATGGAGCGGGGAGAGGGGGGCGGGAGGGAGAGGGGAGAGGGGAGAGGGGGGAGGGAGGGGGGGCGGGGAAAGGCAAAGTGATGTTAAAGAAGGGGCGCCTTAAACCCATGAAACCATCTAAGACCGCGCACAAGGCCTTGGCTGGAAGCCCTCACGGAAGAGAGCATAGCACAGCACAGAGCACACAGTTCACTGCACTGCCCTGCACAGCACTGCACTGCACTGCACTGCACTGCAAAGCAAAGCAAGGCTAGAGATCAGCTAAGATGAGAGCATAGCACGAGCTAGGCAGACACGAGGCGTCGTACGTTGCCTGACTGCAAGCTCCTGCTGTGCCCCCGACGCCTGCAGGAACTCCAGGAAGCGGTCGTGCTGCCACTGCTTCACCCCAAGCTTGCCTGACGATGAAAACCCCCCCGCCGCCACTCCCCCCTGCCCTCCCTCCCGCGCTGTCCCCCCCCCTCTCTCTTCCGCCCCCCGAGCAGCAGAGGAGGGGGTTCTGAGCCCTGCGGTGGTTGCAGGCCCGGTGGTGGGTTCGTCCGCGCCCCAGTGCTTGGTGAGGGCGTCGATGATCGACAGGCTGCACCGCACAAAGGGGCTCGACTCTCCCTCCGCCTCAAACGCCCCTGCTTGCAACATGCGCTGGAGAATCCGGGACCCAGAGTCAGCCCCTGTTAATCCCCCTCCTCCTCCCCCCCCCGCTGCTCCTCCTGCTCCTCCTACCCCTCCTGCTGCTCCTCCTGGTCCGGTTATCCCAGTGGCTCCCGCATCAGCCGCAGCAGCAATGCTGGCTTCTATCCCGCCTCCTACCGCTGCTGCAGCTGACAGGAACTCGTCAAAGAGACTGCTCACTAGCACTGCCGGCCCTCCCTCCTCCCACGCCTCCTCCTCCTCCGCTTCCTCCGCCTCCTCCTGCTCCTCCTCCTCCCTCTCCTCCTCCCTCTCCTCCTCCTCCCTCTCCTCCTCCCCTCCTCCCTCTCGCTCTTGCCCTTCCATAGATTTCCGCCCCTCCACTCCCAATTCTCCTCCCTCCCCTCCATCCGCCCCTCTCACTCTCCCGTCCTCCTCCAGATAACCGATATCTTCCGCACTCCTCCCTCCAACCCCGTACAGCTCCCCAGGTCGAGGTGCCTTATTCAACCGACCCTCTCCTGCCCTCCCGTCCACTACAGCCATGGGTAACGCACACACCCCTCGCCTCTCCGTCAACAGCAACCAATCCCCAACCTGCTGCTGCTGCTGCGCCTCCTTTCTCTCTCCCTTCTCCCCCACCTGAACCTCCTCTCTCCCTTCTCCCTCCTCCTCATCCCCCATTTCTTCCCTTCCCCGCCGGAACACCCCAGCGGCCAGAACCCTCCCCATGCCCCCCATGGGATCCAGCTGATACAACTGCTTCTGAACCACCCCCTGCCCACCCCCTTGCGCACTCCCCTGCCCATACCCCACCCCACTCCCCTCCTGCCTCTCCCTCGCCCCCTCCTGCAGCTGCACTAGAGTGGCTGCTCCATCCCCGGATAGAATCAGCACAGAGCCCCTGGGCCGCCCACCTAGGCGCAGGGAGAGAGCACACATCGCCTCTTCCTCCTCCACCTTCGCCCGCGGTACCACCAGCAGCGGCGCCTGCTTCAACCGCAGCCGAAACCTCTCCACCGTGCCACCTGCTGCTGCTTCAGCCGCTGCTGCTGCTTCGGAGTAGGCGGCAGTGTTGCCAGGGGCGGCGAAGGCAGTGGATGGTGGAGGTTCGCAGAGGGGCTTAGGGTTCAAGGGCAGGCAGTGAGCAGGGGCGGAAGAGGGCACAATGGCAAAGCGCAGCAGCCAGTACTGCAGGAAACAGCTGCCGAACCCAACGCTCCGGTCCTTCACGAGCACTGCTGCCAGCACCACCACATCCATTCCACTCTCCCCTCCTTCCTCACCCTCCTCCCCCCCAACACCCCCCTCCCCCTCCTCGTCCGCCTCTCCCCGCTTCCCGTCACCCTTCTCTCGCTGCTGCTGCTGCTGCTGCTGCTCGTCCTCCTTCCCCGCTCCGCCTCCCATTCTCTCTGCGCGCGCCTTAGCAGCCATTCTGCGAGTCATCACACCCCCGGGAGTCTCAGGCCCCCTCCCCTCCCCTGCTCCTTTCTGCCTCCCACTCTTACCCTGGCCCGAAAATGGAGCCGGAGATTGACCAGGAGAAGGGGAAGGAGGGGGCAGCTGAGGGATGGGGGGGAGAGAGGAGCGGAGTTGGGGGAGAGAAAAAGAGACCTCTTCGTCAGTTGCTACCTGCGCGTCCAGAAGCCACGTGCGCTTCTGGCCAATCAGAGCCCTCTGTACGTCGAGATCCGAGAGCAGATCAACGGCCCAGATCAGCCGGCCCTTCCCCCCTGGTTCTTGGGAGATTTGCCAGAGCTCTAACCCAATCGCTGTGAGCAGCAGCAAGTCAAAGGTACCACCAGCGCTAGCACCAACATTAGCACCAACAGCAGCGGCATCCCCCTCCCCTGCACCTGCATCCGTATCCATTCCCTCTGCTCCCTCCTTCTGCAGCTGTGACTGCTGTTTCCCCACCGTCTTCGAAAGCCGTTTGGACCTCCTAACGGTTCCGCCCGTCTCAGTACCAGTGCCCCCCTTATTCATCTCTAAGTCTCCTGCCTTCTCTCCGCTCCCTCTTCCCCTTCCCCCTCCACCTCCCGTTGCTGGCACCACCGTCAGTGACTGTACAGCTGCCACGCTGAGGCTGCCTGGAGCCATGCCAGGTGTCAGGCCCCGACTGGCTGCTGCTGCTGCTGACGCGGAAGGGGATGCTGCGGGGAGGGCTGCCTCGAGTCTTTCCAAGCGAGAGAAGGCAACGGGCGGGCGGAGAGCGGGGGGCGAGGAGGAGGAGGAGGAGGGGTCAGTGGCAGTGACGGTTGCAGCAGTGGCAGCAGCAGCAGCCGGAGAAGGAGGGGAAGAGGAGCATTCGGCACGCCAGAGCTCGCCGTTACTGCATCCTAGAACAGCAATGCAATCAACCGCACGCTCCTGCTGCTGCTGCTGCTGCTGCTGCTCGTCTGGCAGTTCTCCGTCTCCCACCCTCCCTGCCCCACTTCCCTTCCCACGCCCCTTCGTCGCGTCCACCACCACCATGCTCGTTACAATGTCCTTGAAACGACCCGATGACCCAAAGCTCCCGCCCTTTCTTCCCGCCTGTCCCACCCCCCACCCTTCCGGCGCCTTGCCTATTATCGGCTCAAGGGGAGATGCTCTACCGCTACCGCTAGCAGCGGCAGTAGTAGCAGCAGTGGCAGCAGGGAGGGCGTTCGGCCAGTAGGCAACACACATGGTGCGACGGTTACAAGCAACCACACGCAACGCAGCCAGCCTGGAAGAAGCGCCACCAGTGACACCGTCACCACTTCCGTTCTGAGTATCGCCAGCAAGAGCCATAGCAGCATCACCACCCCCGTCCGTGCCTTCCCCTCCATCCACATCCATCCCCTGACTCCTCCCCCGATTCTCTCCTCCTTGCACCTCCCCTCTCCCTGCAAACACAGGCACAAGCCCGACCAGCCACGCATGTCCATCACTCCCTCTCGCCCGCCCCCCTCCACCGCTCCCCACCCCTGCTCCAACCCCACCAACCCCACCAGCACCACCACCGCCAGCAGCGTCAGCGCTACCGGGAAGGGCGGAGCGGGGGAGAGTGAGCGCAATGCAGTGGGAGGGGACGCGGCTGGCGACGTAGCTCCAGAGGAAGAGGCGGTGGGAGAGAAAGACCCACGCGTAGCCGGACGCAGGGTCGAGGTTGGCTCGAGGGGCCGAGAAGGACGCTGGACGGGGGAGAGGGGTGGGGTGAGAGAAGGGGGGGGGGGGATTGAGGTGGGGAAGTGGGGGAGAATGAGGTAGGGAGTGGAAACGGCTGTGGGGATAAACCCTAGAAAACCGAAAAGCACAGCGTGGCTCATTTCAGCTCGATTGACACCACAACCGCTAGTAGCAAAGGAAGCCAGCACGTAACTGCATCGTGCGAGCGGACGGCCTCCTCGTGTGCTGTCACCACCTTCTTGGACAGATGGCACACCACCATTGGTCCTCCCCCTCCCCCCCCCATCCCCAACCCATCCCCCTTCCTTTCCCCTCCCTCACCCTTACATATCAGGGAAAAACCCTCAAGTACCTGCGTCGTGAGAGCGGACGGCCTCCTCGTGTGCCGCCACCACTTCCTTAGGCAAATCGCACACCACCACGGGCTCGGCACCCCCTTGCCCCGCGCTCCAGTGAAACGCGGGCGCTTGCAACGAGGATGGGGCTTGACGGCTTCGGTCGGAAGGAGAACGACCCGCGGGCGACCTGGGAGCAGCGGGAGATGGGTCCACCACACACGGATTAGGGTTTGGCATCTGCCACGCGTTATGCTGATGTAGGGACGAGCATCCGGCGTACAATGACTCGGATGTAATCGGAGCGACCAGCGGATGGCAGCCTCTGAGGGCGGTTCTCCTTGCCCTTTCTTAAAAGCTGACAGCAGGGACGGGTAAGGAGAGAGAGAGAGGAGTCGCTGACCAGGAGAACTGCTGACGGCTGCGGCGACTCTCGAGGGCTAGGTTTCCTTACCCTTTCGTAAAAGCTGACAGGGACGGGTGAGGAAAGAGAGGAGTGGCTGACCTAGAGCGAGCCGGGAACTGCTGCTGGTATGCAGGGTGCCATGATAACGGCTGGGGCGACGGCGACGCAGCAGGCGAGGAGGAGCCGACCCCGACTCCGATCCCGAAGCTGGGCGACGGCGGCGAGCCGGGGATCGCGGAGAGCGCTGCCGCAACGTGCGCCGCCTGCGCCGCCGCGATCGGCGACGCGGCGCGAGCTGCTGCTGTGGCTGTTCCCGCCGGCGATTGCGACGGCGACGACGACTCGCGCGCGGTCGCCGGGCTGGGGCGTCGCCCTGGCGTACCGTACTTCCTGCTCCCGGAAAACATTGGCCCTGGCTGAGGAACACCTACCGCGAAACGTCGAGAGCACGGACGGAGAAAACTGGAGGCAAGAAAACTAGAGTCGGGAAGGGCTTGAGGAGGGAAGCACGCAGAGGATGCGCACAGAAAGTAGGAATCGAGTAGGGGGAATCGGGAATGAAGAATCGAGAATCGGGAATTGAAACGGACGGACGGGATCAGGTCCGATCAGAGAGGCTCGGGTTGGAACGCGCGCGGCTGCCGGGCCGCGACTCCCGCGTCGTAGTAAAGAGCCATGAACGGGCTGATCATCGACCAGATCAGACGGACCAGATAGATCGGATCATAACTCGGGTTGTGGCTGAAAAGCAGGGGGAAAAGGGGGTGCGCGGAATTCAGGCAACATTGGAGACTGAAGTGCAGAGGGGAGGGGAAGTGGGGAGGCGAAGGGGGGGAGTTGGGGGAAACAAATCTCGAGGTTGGGCATTGACGAAAAGCGAGAATGGGGTTACCAGCGAAGTAACAAAAAAATTCAGGGCGTGTCCTGAGCGTTCGTCTTCGGTCAATACTGGACCGAACCGTTTTACGGCGTTATTTAAATCTTCCGAACCGCAATCAGCCTCACTCAACCGCGTTCGGACGTACTCTTAGGACAGGCCCTCGTAAGCAGAAATGGATACACGTACTTGGAAGAAAAAGTTCCGACTCTGGAGGGAGGGGCCGAACAAAACAAAGAGCTTCCCTTTATTCACACCACGCAAACTGCTCCGCTGCTTTGCGTCTGCAGTTCGCTGGCCCGTCGCCATGTTCCTGCCGCGCGCAATAGCGCGTCCCCCTGGTTCTTCCGCCAAACCCCGCACGACACCCGCGCAGCGGCCGCAGCGGCGCTCGGGCCCTCCACCTCCAGATCCTGCTGCTTGCAGCGCAGGGCCTGGGCGCATCGGCGGAGATTCCGCGCAGGGCATAGCTGGCTCGGTCGGCGGAGTTTGGGGAGACGCGGAGAGAGGGGGAGACGGGAGCAGCGGAGGGGGCCATGCTGGATCAAGAGAGGGAGTGAACGAGGGCCGCGCAAGAGAGGGAAAAGGAGAGAGCGGGACAAGAGAGGGGCCCTCGAGGGAGGAAGATAAGGAGTTGAGATTCGAGACAGGGATAGAGACAGCGGAAACGAAAAAGGACGAGAAAGGGGAGAGGGAGGAGCAGGAGGCGGAGGAAAAAGAAGACGACGAGGAAGAGGAGGAGGAGGAGGAGGAGGTGAAGGAGCGGAGCGTGCAGCAGAGAGCAGCGGAGCCAGGCGAGCCCGTGTGCGCGGTGTGCGGGCGGTATGGGGAGTACATCTGCGATGCAACGAACCTGGACGTGTGCAGCCGCGAATGCAAGGCTGCGTGCGTCAGGGGGGATGTGCCACGTGTCAGAGGGAGGGAGGGGCAGGGAGGGGGAGAGGGGAAGGTGGGCGGAGGAGAGAGGTGTGGTATGGCAGAGAGGAGGGAAGAGGAGGGCGTGAGAGAGGAGGAACCTGTGAAGGGGAGTGAGAGAGAGGTGGAAGAGGAGGAAGAAGCTGAGGTAGAGGAAGAGGAGGAAGAGGAAGAGGAGGAGGAGAATTTCACCCTAGACATGGGTGCATGGAGCAGCATATCTGACGCAGCAGCAGGGGAGATCCGCACTAGGGAGGGCATAACCGTGCATGGAGACCCCCCCATCCCCGCACCCATACTCGACTTCGACGCACTCTCAACCCTCCTGCCAACCTCTCAGTCCCCCTCCAAAAAGCTTCTCAGTGCAGAGCTAATCTTGCAGGGGGTAATAAGCAACCTGCACCACCACCACTGCATGGGTGTGCATGCACCCACCCCGGTTCAAATGCAAGCCATTCCCACCATCCTTTCCCGCAGAGACACTCTCCTCTCCTCCCCTACTGGCTCGGGCAAGTCCCTTGCCTTCCTGCTGCCGCTGGTCTCGCTCGCCCTCCTCCCTCTAGGAGGGCGTGGGAGAAGGGTGGGAGGGTTGGTGGGTGTGGTGCTGGCGCCGTCTCGGGAGCTAGCAGCCCAGCACCACGAGACTATTAAAGGCCTGCTGAGCTGTGCATGTGGGGGGCCTGCTGGTACAGGAGGAGGAGGAGGGCGGAATGGGCGTGCATTAGAAGGAAGCAGGGGTGTGATGTGGTCAGATTTGGTTCGGTCTGATGCGGTGCGGTCTAATGCGGTGCAGTCTGATGTGGTGCGGTCAGTGCTGCTGGTTGGGGGAGAGTCCACAGAGGTGCAGATGGGACGTCTGTGGAGGGGAGTGGTGGGGGGGAGGAGTGTGGGAACAGGGGAGGGGCAAAAGGGAGTGGGAGGGAGAGGGGGAGGGGTGGGAGTTTACTAGGCATGGGGGGGAGGAAGAGGAGGAGAGCGGAGTTGGGAGAGAAAGTGCAGGGGGAAGGGAGCCGAGGGGAAGGGGGAAGTGAGAGGGGAGGTGAGAGAGACAGTGGAGCAGGGGAAGGGAGAATGGATGGGGGAGCAAGGGAGGGCAGGGAGAGGCGAGAGAGTGGAGAGGGAGGGGGAAGTGGTGGTGGTAGTGGGCGAGGAGGGGAGGGGGGTGCGGTGGTGATAGTGGCGACACCAGGCCGACTCATAGAGCTGTTCAAGCTCATGAAGAAGGGGCTCAGAGAAGGACACGCTGCTGCTGCTGCAGAAGCCAATGCTGGTGGTGGTGAATCTGGTGGCTCTGCTGGTTGTGGTGCTGGTGGGGCTGCTGCTGCTGCTGCTGCTGGTGCTGATGGTGTGGAGGAGGGAGTGAAGAGCAGACGAGGCGACGCAGTGGCGGCAGGGAGGGTGGTGGTGGGATGGCGGTCGCTGTGGCGGGCGCTGAAGCTGGTGGTGGTGGATGAAGTGGATGCCATGGTGCAGGTGGGTGGCACGTGATGGTGCAGGTGGGTGGCACGTGATGGTGCAGGTGGGTGGCATGGGATGTCACGTCAGGCTCTTGCAGATTCCCACAAGTCACAAGCCATTCCGCTGTGCTCAGCCCCTGCTTACTGACTCTCTTTTTCTCCACCCCCACCCCTCTCCCTGCATGTCCCCCTTGCTTTCCTTCTTCATGTCCAACAGCGTGGCTTTGCCCATCAGCTGCAGCATATTCTCTCACAGCTAGCGTCCGCCACACAGCAGGACATGCAAGTAGAGGAGAAGCAGCAGCATCACAATGCCGCCAGCACCAGTAAAAGCAGCAGCACCAGGACCCGCAGCAGCAGCAGCAGCAGCAGCAGTGGTGGTAGTGGTGGCCATCGTGCCTGGCAGCTGGTGCTTGCATCTGCGTCCGTGTCCAAGGAAGTGCAGGAAATGACTGCATCTCTCATGCGCTCTCCTATCACCATCACTTGCTCACACATGACCGTGGACAACAATGGGCTTGCAGTCAGCTCCACCCATGTCAAACAGGTAAACAGCAATCTGCCCCGTGTCTTCCCCACCCCCCCACCCTGTTTACCCCACCCGCAGTCTTTCCCCTTTCGATCAACTGTCATCTAGGCTCTAAGGCCTTGTGGTACTCCTGTTCCTTCCTCTCCTGTTGCTCATTGTCCTCTTGATTCAGTTCTTACCCTCTCGCCCTTGGTGCTTGCATACCGTAGGTTGTCATTTGGGTGGAGGAGAAGCACAAGAAGCAGAAGCTCTGCGACATTCTGTGCCATCCGCGCCACTTCCGCCCGCCCGTCCTTGTGTTTGTCTCCTCGCGAGACGGAGCCGACCTCCTCTCCTCCACCATCCACCAACTCACCGGCCTCCAAGCAGCTTCCGTGCACAGCGGCAAGCCTGCTCCGGATCGTCGTAACGTCATTGCGCAATTAATCATGGAGGAAATACCTGTTGTGGTTTCTACTGTTGGAGTGCTTGGCCGAGGGGTTCACATACCCAAGGTGTCTCAAGTGGTGGTGTTTGATATGCCTGGGAGCATGGAGGATTACGCCCATTTGATTGGTCGAGCCGGGCATGTGGGAGCACCAGGAACAGCCATGGCTTTTGTTAATGCGTTGTCACGTCCGCTTTTGCCCGCTCTTGTGGGCTTTCTCAAATCAACTGGGAACCCGATTCCTCGTGAGCTCTCTGTTTTAGCTCCAAGGTGACTTCATGTGCGCAGTGTAGGTGTATAAGCGTCTTGATATCAAAGAAATCAAGATTGGGAAGGAAGTTAACGAATTTACCTGTAAGGGGAGAATTGGTCCCCAATTTTGAATTTCAAATTTGCCTAGAACAACCAGCCAGTCACAGACGGGTTCGGTTCCGTTTCATCTTCCTCCCTGCTACCTCCCGTACACGTACAGTAGTACCATACACAAAGGATCACAGTAGCTACAGTAGATGACTGCTAATAGTACGCCGTGCCTAGCTTTGCCATTTCGTCCTCGTCCGCCCACTATTCTCGCTCTCGCTCATCTGCGTCCCTCACCACCACCTCCTCAGCTCCTCAATTCTCACTCATCTTTTAGGCGCGTCGAGGTGAGATTTACTACCAAATCATACAAACTTGAGAGGCCCGTGTCGTTGAACGAAATCATCATGGTGCCGAAGCCCGCATCGTTGGAAGTCGCCTCCTCCGCTCCTCCCAACGCAGGCATCAGCTTGTCAGAGTCAGAGCCACAATCACAATCGGAGTCGGAATCGGAATCGGAACCGAGTCTAGATTCTTCCTTTTGGAGCGTGGATAAGCGCGCCAAGCAGTTCACTCTCGCCGTGGTTTGCCACGAAGGGAAGATCCTCCTCGGCCGGAAGCAGCGCGGGTGAGCGCGCAGGGCGGGGCAAGCTTCCGTGTCTTACAGGCTTGTCCGTTATCAAAACGACTTATAACGAGGCAAAACTGATTCTCGTTGCCCTCTGTCTCCACGCGGCCTGAATCCGTTCCTTTGCCAGGTTCGGCAAGGGTCTCTTTATGTTCTTTGGCGGGAAAGTCGAGCCTGGAGAAACCACGGACCACGCCGCTGCTCGCGAGGTAGTAGACTACCTTTCCCCCCTTGTCCGACGGCATCATCCTCCTCTTGTCTATCTCCCCTTTTCGCCTTTCGCTGACTCCCTTTTCCTCCACTTCCCCTTTCCGCCGTTACCCTTCTACGGGCGAACGGGCGTTTTGGCTGCCTCCGAGAGCGCGCCTCGCTCCTCCCTGCGCGCCTTCCCCACATCATCCCCGCTCTGCGCCTTCCCCACATCATCCCCGCTCTGCGCCTTCCCCACATCATCCCCGCTCTGCGCCTTCCCCACATCATCCCCGCTCTGCGCCTTCCCCACATCATCCCCGCTCTGCGCCTTCCCCACATCATCCCCGCTCTGCGCCTTCCCCACATCATCCCCGCTCTGCGCCTTCCCCACATCATCCCCGCTCTGCGCCTTCCCCACATCATCCCCGCTCTGCGCCTTCCCCACATCATCCCCGCTCTGCGCCTTCCCCACATCATCCCCGCTCTGCGCCTTCCCCACATCATCCCCGCTCTGCGCCTTCCCCACATCATCCCCGCTCTGCGCCTTCCCCACATCATCCCCGCTCTGCGCCTTCCCCACATCATCCCCGCTCTGCGCCTTCCCCACATCATCCCCGCTCTGCGCCTTCCCCACATCATCCCCGCTCTGCGCCTTCCCCACATCATCCCCGCTCTGCGCCTTCCCCACATCATCCCCGCTCTGCGCCTTCCCCACATCATCCCCGCTCTGCGCCTTCCCCACATCATCCCCGCTCTGCGCCTTCCCCACATCATCCCCGCTCTGCGCCTTCCCCTCATCATCCCCGCTCTGCGCCTTCCCCACATCATCCCCGCTCTGCGCCTTCCCCACATCATCCCCGCTCTGCGCCTTCCCCACATCATCCCCGCTCTGCGCCTTCCCCACATCATCCCCGCTCTGCGCCTTCCCCACATCATCCCCGCTCTGCGCCTTCCCCACATCATCCCCGCTCTGCGCCTTCCCCACATCATCCCCGCTCTGCGCCTTCCCCACATCATCCCCTCACTGCGTCATCCCCCATCCCCGCTCTGCGCCATCCCCCCATCCCCTCACTGCGTCATCCCCCCATCAGCTGCAGGAGGAAGCGGGTCTGGTGGCGGAGAGCTACGAGAAGCGCGCCGAGCTCACGTTCCACCTGGACGGGCAGCCCAAGCCGTGGCAGGTGCGTGCTCGTTGAGTCGACTTCAAAAGCAGAGAGGTTTGAGAAGCGCGCCGAGCAGTGGTCAGAGAGGATGGAAGGGGGTGCGAGAACGATGAGAACGGGAAGACAGGGGAGAAGGGGACAAAAGAGATTATAAATTTTTGCAGCGGGGGCGGTTGAGCAGGCGAGTAAGGGGGAGAGTAGGAGTGGCAACCTGCCACGGACGATGGGAGATGGGAGGGATTGCAAGGGCAAGCACGTGGCTGCCCTTTGCCTCTTGCCAGACTCCAATCTTCGTTCTCTCTTCGTTCTCTCTCCTTATCTCCGATTTTCCTCCTTCTCCAATACCATGCTCGTTGCCACAGGTGCATGTATACATAGTGGAGAGATTCAGTGGGGAGATGTGCAACAGTGACGAGATGCTTCCGCAATGGTTTCCCACCTCCGACATTCCCTATGGTGCACCTTTATCTCGTGCAGAATAGCATGCTTCTGCTTGCAAACTGCCATGTACATTGCTTTGAGTCGACTCAAAAGTCGGCACATTGCTGGCTGGCTGTGTATCGCCTTGCATGAATATGCCCCTTGTGCAGTTTGTTCGTTTGGTTGTTTGTTTGTTTTTTTTTTTTTTTTTTTTCCTTCTTTCCCTTCAACGAATACGCCGTGCCCCTGGCTGGCTCCGTTCAATACGTTATGGTGTGCATTACGCAGGCGAAATGTTTCCAGACGATATCATATGGGTGCCCTGCTTTCTGAAAGGTACTGTATGATTGTACGACACCCTGACATCATATTGTGTGACTCCACAACAAACAAGCCCTGCCTTCTGCCGTCTGCTCTCTGCCTTCTACCGTCTGCCGTCTGCCTTCTACCGTCTGCCGTCTGCCTTCTACCGTCTGCCGTCTGCCTTCTGCCTAGTCAAGTTCAATGATGACAACCCCCTGTCTCCAGAGGCGTCTCAACCCGCACCTATTTTTCAAGTGTTTTCCATCTTCTATCACCATGGCCTGACCTTTCACTCTCTGGTGCTGTTGCAGGTGACAGGCTCAGAGCAGAGTTTGTGTCCAGTGCGGATGGCATGGTGATGCGGCAACACCATCTAACAATCCTGTAGCCTTGCTCAGTGACAAGTTACAATGTCTAATAACCAACCAGCCGGTAGTTCCACACGTGGCCACTGGCCAGCTTCCCGGTAGATTGTCCCGCAAAACCAGCATTCAAGGCTGACCAAATAAGCTGGTGGCGCTTATGTTATCCCGCATTTGAAGATTGGGCAAGAATATCCATCCAGGCCTCCCATGATGTTCTGTCCCTGGAGTTACTGTGAATCCCTCCCATCCGTCCCATTATGACCCCAATGTTTCAGACTTACCATAAGACAAGACAACGTGTCTGTTTGTTGGTGTTGGAAATATCTCAAAGGACTTGAGCGTTTCTGAAGTGTAACACTACACTCGAGGAAGATCACAACGGGTACGCGAGTCAACGGGGTTACACGAGGGGCCGGACAAAGAACGCGAAGGGACTCGAAGGGTCGCAACTGGAGGTTGCGACTGACCGTTACAACAGCGCGGATGGTAACCGAAGCGACAATCGAGTCGCTGTGCGACTCGATAACCGCTCCTGCAACTGTATTCTACAACTGCTTTCTTATTTTCTATATATTGCTGTATGCTTGTTTCTTTAATCAATCACTTGTTCTCATATACTAGTACAAGGGTTCAACTACTCAACTTCCACTGCACTACTCAAGTCTCAATCTTCATCTGGGACTTCGTCTCTGGAAAGATCCTAAGGGCTTTTCTCAGCCCAACATGGTATGAGAGCTGGTCAGAGACCAAACTCCCAGCAACTACGCTCTATCTACAATCTGCAATTCAACGACTTCATTGATTACAAGTCATGGACAGCAAGGGCAAGAAAATCTCTACGGGCTCACCCAGCACCCAAGACACTCAACCCGGCAACTCTGGATTGCACACTTCAGGACTGCAAACCGAGACCGGCGCTGCTCAAGAAACAACAGGAAGAGCACCGGAAATGGTGACCCCATCACCCTCTTCAAGCGTGGATCAGAACCTTATGGAAAGGTTCTTCAGCTTCATGTCGCACTTCGACCAGCAGCAGCAGACAAGGACACCTGCGCATTCAACACAGAGCAACAGAGGAAACATGGGATTAGCGCCGATGAGCCTCGACAATTCGTCGTTCGGGCGACACAATCAAGCGCCTACCTTTGCGCCTTATCACTCTTCACCGGGGACATTCGAGTTCATGCCGCCCCGCGCCCAACCAACAGCAGCTGCATCACAACAGACACTAAACGAGATTTTAAGTCTCCAGGCGCAGTTTTCACACGTGATTAAACTGCAGACATCCTCACCATTCAACGGACACGATTTCTTTACCTGGAGCTTTGAGTTCGAGCAGCTGATGGAGGCTGCGCATCTCTTGGGATACTTCAACGGATCCCTGCCATTCCCAAGCAACGGCACTGGAAAGGAGCAAGAGATTTTCACGTATCAGTCGCTGCTGGCGTATACAATTCTCCTGCGGAACCTGTCACCACAAGAACAGCAGAGCATCAGAACGTATCGGAGCTATGGAAACTCCGCGGAACTCGCATGGCATCGTCTCAAGTGTCTCTATCAAGCAAACGACAGCGTGACACAAAGCAGACTCATGCAACAGCTGACAACAATACAGATGAAGACCGGGGAAAAGGCGATGCAGTATATGAGTCGATGCCAGACCCTCCGCGACCGCCTGCTTCGGTGCGGAGGAACAATCACTGAAGAAAGCTTCGTGACACTTGTCCTCGCCGGGCTCGAGCCAGAATGGAGAACCACACGCTCGATTCTTCGCGCCCACGGCAGGATCTCGGAGATGCACCTTTGCGCCGAACTTCATGCTGAACAACAGGAGATGGACCTGTTCGAAGAAAGACAACCAAGGAAGCAGCAGCAGTTAGTTTTCTACACTCAACGAAGGAACGACAACAACTACAATTGACGCGACAAACAAGATCAACGCGACAATAGAGGACTCACCATCGTGCCGCCGTTCTGCCACAACTGTCAAACATCCGGACATTCCAAAGTCAACTGCACACGTCCTCGTGTCTATCGTCCAGTAGACCCACAAGTCGCCTCCACTCAAGAAAGCCCTCCAAGACGTTCTTCCACATCTGCACAAGGGACACCAAACATCATAAACTGCATGGTACACATCGACAACTGCACACCCGGATCACCACCCACTTACGCGCCAGACGAAGAAGAATTCCCGCCGCCGCGCTCACAAAGACTTCAGGTCAACCTGACATACGCTGCGGTCGCCAACGCCGAACCCACAGGGCGAAACACCTGATTCTTGGACAGCTGCTGCGGTCAACACATGTGTTCTTCCGGACGCTTCGTGCAACAAGAGCGACGCCTCAACCGCGACGTCATCATCACCGTCGCCAACAATGAGAACCTGAAAACAAACAGACAAGGGGTGGTTCAGTTACAGTCCATGGAAACAAACGTCATCCTTCAACTCAACAAGGTCTTAATCGTTGACAACTTGGGATACAATCTGCTAAGCGTCAGCCAACTAATGGCAAAAGGGATTCACCTGGAGTGCGACTCGGACTCCAACGAGTTTCGCCTTTACCACGGGAAGGGCGGCCTCTTCATCGGTCGTGCTCTCCTGAAGTCCGGCGTCTTCGTGTTGGACTTCGTCCCCGACCGAGGTACTGCCGACAGCGATGGGATCGTGTCGTTCGCCGCATGGACACACCCGCCGGATCTTGACCCCGAATTCAACCCCGATGGATTCTGGTACTCCAACACCATACCTGCAGCAGAAAGAACACGAGCGTTAGCAGTCATCAGACAAGAAAGACAAGTACCAACAAGTGTTCCTTCCCAACCATCACCTGCAGTAGCAGCAGCAGGACCCAGCCGAGTACCACCACCAGCGATCCGAGGACCGCCAACCGAAGCAGATCAACTTATGCCCATCACACGAGAAGTCTGCCGCAGTCCTGCCACGGTCGTCGCGTTCTTCTCCAACACCGACATATACCACCGCTCGCCCGGCCATCGAGCTCCCGACGACATCTGGCACCAACGTCTCGGACATCCTGCAAACAGTACAATACTGCAAACCATCCAAGCCGAAGTGTTAGAACGAAACGCTCTCCTTACAACGAGCGGCCAAGAATTTCGACGACCACGCGCACGGTGCTTTACGTGCCCCGAAGCAGATCTACCCCATTCTGTCTCTCCTTTTCAGCGCTCTCACCATATGTTGCTCCGTTCCCAGGCGTCTCGTCCTCCCCTATCCCGTCGCCTCCTCCGTCGTCGCTTGTTGTCGCTCCGCATCCTCTGTCTGACCACCTTTGTGCCGCTAGTCCTCTTGTTCCGCGAGTCCTTGCCTCCCTCGTTACTGACCCGTCTGTTCCTGTCTCGAATCTTGACGCTCTTGTCGATGCAGTCGCTGACTTTGCCTCTACACGCCGCCTTGACTACGCCACTGCTCTGGCCTCTGACCCTGCCCGTCCTCTGTCCGTCGGGGGTGCTCCTGCCATTGGCAGTGACGTCCTGGAGGACCGGCAGTACGAGCTTGCTTTCCTGTCAGAGGCCGCGCCTCATCTCTGCTCCATGCTGCTAGTCCCTGAGGGTGACCGAGACGCCTTTGACATCCCGACCCCTCGCACTTACGCTGAGGCGACGTCTGGACCCTGGGCCTCTCAGTGGATAGCTGCCATGGAGCAGGAGATGGCATCTTGGAGATCCACCGGCACCTACGTCGACGCAGTTCCCCCACCTGGGGTGAACGTAGTCGATGGCTGGTGGCTCTTCAAAGTGCAGCGCCCTCCTGGAGAGCCGCCAGTGTTCAAGGCGCGCTACGTTGCTAGAGGCTTCACTCAGCGTGAGGGCGTTGACTTCTTTCAGACCTTCGCCCCGACCCCGAAGATGACCACTCTTCGGGCGCTGCTACATGTAGTAGCTCAGCGTGACTATGAGCTGCACTCTCTGGACTTCTCCACAGTGTTTCTCCAGGGCAGTCTACACGAGCAGGTCTACCTGCGCCGTCCGCCTGGGTTCACCGGCACCTTCACCCCTGGGACCAAGTGGCTCCTCCGGCGCCCAGTTTACGGCCAGCGCCAGGTGCCCCGTGAGTGGCATGCCACGCTGCGTGCTACGTTAGCTGGCTTTCAGTTCTTCCCATCGTCTGTAGACCCTTCACTCTTCATCCGTTCAGGATGGACCCCGCTCTACATCCTTGTCTACGTAGACGACCTGGTCTTTGCTACTGCAGACAGAGACGCTCTGGCTTCGGTGAAGGGTGAGAAGTTGAGGAGACACACCTGCACTGACCTAGGAGTGCTGCACCGCTACCTTGGGCTGCAGATCTCCAGGGGCAGAGCAGCGTGCACCATCACTCTCACGCAATCACCCTTGGTCCGCCAGGTTCTTCAGAGGTTCGGTCTTCAGTTCTCCTCCGTGTAGCCCACACCTCTGCCAGTGGATCCCTGGCTCTCAGCTCCAGTCCCTGAGGAGTCAGTAGAGCCTAGTGGTTTGTGTGCAGAGCTGGTGGGTTGCCTCATGTACCTGATGACTTGCACTCTTCCAGATCTCGCATACCCTCTCAGCATCGTGGCTTGCTTTGTGGCGAGAAGGAGACACCGACCACAGCACTGGTCGGCAGCTAAGAGGGTTTTGCGTTATCTAGCAAGTACATCGGGCACGGGGATAGTGTTAGGAGGACGCAGGCCAGTGGTCCTAACAGGGCACACAAACGCTTCGTGGGCCGATGGCGCAGAGACACCCAGGTCCTCTCAGGGCTATTCCTTTAGCCTTGGTGCAGGTGCCATCTCGTGGAGGTCCACCCGTTCCTCGTCTGTTGTACAGTCTAGCTGCGAGGCCGAGATCTACGCAGGTGCCATGGCGGCACAGAAGCTCCGCTGGCTGACGTTCCTGCTCACAGACTTAGGTGAGCGGCCTAGCTTTGCCTCGGTCCTGTACGCTGACAACAGGGCCATGATCCTCCTGTATCAGGAGCCTCGAATGGAGGGCAGAGCGAAGGACATCCGGCTGCGGTACTTCCTCCTGCGCGAGCTGCAGCAGCGACGCTAGGCCCGCGTAGTACACTTGGCCTCCTGTGCCAACATATTGTAGCTGATATCTTTACTAAGGTGCTTGCGCCTAGAGATCATCAGCGGCACTGTGTACAGCTTGGTCTAGTTTTTGTAGCTCCTCACTTGCTAGGACCTTGATTGTGTACTACTCTTATTATATTCTCGTGACTGGCCTTGTGGCTTTTGCTCCAGTGGTCGGACTAGTAGTGCCGCCCTTGTTTGCTCTTGTCTTGTTTGTACTCTTCTGACTGGTCTTCAGACCCTTGCCTCAGAGGTTGGACTAGTAGTGCCACCCTGAGCTACGTGTCTCTTGCCAGGCACCGCCCCTTGTCTAGCCTAGGGGGTGTGTATACATATACTTGTATATGTTATAGACTAGATAGGTGCATGCTCACGACACCATAGCACAAAACCTCCTAGTATGGCTTAATCTAGTTCATTGCGTTTTTCTAACACTCGTTACCTCGCCACGCGAAATCTGGTCAGGTGTCCTCTGCTGTTGTGCGATGCGAGAGGAGCGGATGGCCGCGATCGACCCTTGCTCGCTGGCAAAGTGCAGCAATCCTGCCACTTGGCGTGCCAATCTACTGTCGAGCAGTTTTCGAGGGACTGTTAATACCCCTACGTGACGGGGTGACATCCGGCTCCCGTCATCCACCTAGGATTTCTGTCCGCTCCATTTTCGGTTGGAGTTGCCCATCCTGACGGATTACGTCCCGAAATGACGTAGGATGTCGTGAACAATCGGGATCATGTGGATCATTTTCGCACCAATGGTTCAACAAGGTCGGTATGTGGGGGTCTTGAGGATCGTCGACCAATGGGTTGTGGTCTTGACCGTTTTTTAGTGAATGCGCGAGGTTGCGACGTTTATTCAGTACGCTTTTACAATTGGTGGAACATCGTACACGCTGAGTACGTGGGAGTTGTGCCTACCAAATCATTGCCCTGTGCGAATGTGTGCCTTAGGAATCGTTGCACTAGTCGCGTCTGACCTGTAACTGTTTTGGATTTGTGTAAGGAATTTTCCATTCCTTCACGTGCCACACCGCCAACGCGTACACCAACCCCACACGACACCAACATCCGCCCTAGCTTCGGCCTGAACACGGCACCGAACCATTTCCGCGTCATTCCAAAGCGCTCCGCGTCCTCGGATGCCTTCTTCGAACACATTCGATTCTGCACTACTCTGATTAAACACTCATAACATCTGGTATTCAGAGCTACTTTCCTGACCTACTCGTTTTCGTAAGCGGAAAACCTTTTCAAGGGGTGGGGGGGAGTTATTCGCTTACTGAGCTGCAAAGTGGTCAGCCGCGAACTAGACGAATTAATTCACCCGACTACAATAGCGTTTGCGCTCTTACTTGAGCACGAGTAATCACGGATATTCCCCTACCCACCTGGCGTAGTGTCCGCTACATGGACCAGGCACTGTTTGACGAGTTGTTGGCAAAATTTGCCGCCACGGACGCTCGCCTGCAAGCTGTGTTAAGCGGCAACGAGAAGCTTCGCGCCAAAGTTACCAAACTTCGCCAAGCGCAAGAGACTACGTGCCTGAAGTCGCCCGCCCCCAAGGATGCCGCTAGCACTGGGTGTGTTGAAACAGTATGGGACGAAATCGCACGCGAAGTGTCGCAGGAGCGCCATGATGATGAAGCTTAAGCAGCAACGAACACAGCCGCACGTGCCACGGCAGCTGCAATAGCTGCGACAACGGCCACCGCCCACTCCGAAGCAGCAGCAACAGTCTCTGCAGCAACCGCAGCCACACCAACTGTACCAGTGGCCAAGATAAAGCCGCCGATGCCACCCCCTTTTAACCCCATGGATAAAAACACCACCATGGCAGGCTGGCTTTTTGCGATGGAGCTTTATTTTGATGCTGTCGGAATTATTGTTGAAGATTTAAAAATCAATGGCTGTTTCACTTCTTAGGGGACTTGCCCTAGATAGCTGGTGATCAACACCAAGTGAGATGGGGACTTCGGCAAGGAACACTCAGGGTTTTTCCGGGAGTTCAGAATCTGTTGCCCGGAACGCAACGTCAATTTTCGGAGCGACCGAGATTCGCATGGGGAAAGCGTGGGGTACAGCTCTGCGTTCGAACCCATATCCGCCTCGGACAACGCACACACGAAGCTGGACACCTAGCGCCAGTTGACCTCTGTCCAAGATTACACGTCATCATTTCAGGCACTGTGCGACCAAATCACCAACCTATTAGAAGCCGAGAAAAAGAACCGGTTCATCGTTGGACTTAAATCTGATGCTCGCTATGAAGTGAGGATGCGACGTCCAGCGACGTTCCAAGAAGCCGTGATGATCGCCGACCTGTACGACGCCAATAAAAAAATTGTGAGATCAGGTTCCCAGGAGGGAAATCGTTTTTGTGGCTATGATCAACGACCCTCGATCAACGACATGGTGGCGAATGACGAAGATCGCAGGAAGTGACAATGTTTTCACTGCCACCAGCCGGGTCCCCGATATGCTGACTGCCCTGACCGGAAGCAGAGGAATAACAACAATGGGGATAAGTCGGGAAACGACTCTCGTTAGTAGCAAACGGGCCCCCTACTGACACGGCTGCATCGTTCGAGGAACAACATCTCCACCGGGTAGTGGTACCGGGACATGCTATCGACCGCTCTCAGACGAATATTAGGGATGAACCTGAGGATCACCCTGTGCTGGTAGAAGGGAGGGTTAACGGCAAAAAAAGTGAAGATCTTCATCGATGGTGGTGCGAGCCACAGCCTGATTCACCGACAGACGGCTAAAAAAATAAACATACCCTTGGAGCAGTGTCTGCCCGAGATCGATGCTCGATTGATCGACGCCACCCCACTAGCGATACGCGATCGTGTGCGTACTGTTCGCATGAAGTGTGGTGACAATTTTGGTTTCAACGCGCCGATGCTAGCAACAATGTTCGACGGCTACGGTGAGTTGCTGGGACGAGATTGGCTTCGGCGACACAATCCGCAGATCGATTGGACGACATGCGAATGCATAGTGAAGTGTGCGACTGATCGACAGACATTACCATGCTGGCGAGGAGCAGAGCCGATAACGATACGCGTCAACGCCATCACGCTGACATGCGCGGTCAAGAAAGGTGCAGACCTGTACGCTGTCCATCTGAAGGCATCAACTGACGACAATTAACAAGCCGACATTGATAAGCTCTAAGCAGCAGTCCTCGAGGATCTGGCAAAATTGATTCGACCGTTCCCAGATATTTTTCCGGATGACCTGCCACCTAGCCTACTACCAGAACGCCCTCAGGACCATCGGATCGAACTCGAACCTGGCGCGCAGCCAACTGTCCCGACACAGTGGCGACTGACGCAGCCCGAGCTCCAGGAGTTACGGGACCAGCTGGACTATTTGCTGGCCAAAGGGTTCGTTTGACCGAGTACGGCCCCGTTTGCCGCCCCGATCCCATTCACAACCAAGAAGGATGGGGGCCTCCGAATGTGCATCGGTTATCGCGCCCTTAATCGGGTTACGATAAAGTCTCACTACCCAATCCCACGTGCGGATGAACTTGATTGACCAGCTGTGAGGCTCTCGCTTTTTCTCGAAGATCAACCTTCGCGGCGGTTACCACCAGATTCGAGTCTTCGTACTCGCTATGGGAGTTACGAATACACTGTTATGCCGTTCGGGTTAACGAAAACCCCCTCGACGTTTCAGCTAACGATGAATGGGGTATTCCGAGATCTACTCGATAAATGTGTTATCATTTATCTGGATGATATCCTGATTTACGGCACAACACGGGAGCAGCACTTAAAGGACCTGGAAGCGGTTTTATAGCGCCTGCAGCAGAATCATCTCATCACCAAAGGGTTTAAGTGCGAGTTTTTAAAACTCGAACTGGATGGGGCACGTTATTTCGATGAAAGGCATGAAAATTGACCCCCGCAAAATTCGGGCAATTCAGGAATGGAAGCCGCCGATCAACCTCCAGGAGCTGCAATCGTTTTTGGGGTTCGTCAATTATGGGCGCTGGTTTATTACCAACATGGCGGGGTTAATTGGGGCGCTAAATGACCTACTTCATAAGGGCGCTGATTATCAGTGGGAGGAGAAGCAACAAGCTGCGTTTGACGGATTAAAAAATGTTTTTATCTCGTCACCAGAACTTCGAATTGCTGACCCAGAATGACCGTTCGAGGTCGTGACAGACGCAAGTGACATCGTAATCGGAGTAGTTCTGTTACAGGATATCGGCGACGGTCTTCAACCAATCGTGTACGAGTCGTGAAAGATACCATCGGCCGTGCGAAATTATCCTGTACACGACAAAGAAATGCTGGCGATCGTGCACACGTTCAGGATCTGGCGATGCTATCTGACGGGAGCCGACGTGACTGTACGAACACATCACAAATCCCTACAATACCTGCGCGCGCAGCCGAATCTCAACCCGTGGCAGATTCGCCAGTTGGATTATTTGAAGTCGAACTTCACGTATCGAATGAAGTACAAGAAGGGTACCAACAAGATTGCTGACACCCTCTCTAGACCATTTGCCCAAACCGCCGCCGTACTAATCGCACAGACGAACCCGTTGTTAAGATGAACCCATTCACCCATGGATATTCAACTGATCCATTTTTTGTAAACAACGGCCACCAGCAAGTCACGACTACGCAAGGGGGCTATTACGTAAAAGCGGGAACGGAACGAATTTGGGTTCCGAGTTATCGTCTACTTCGCGAATTACTAATTCAAGAAGTCCACGATTTGAACTTATCGGGACATTTTGGGGTTGACAAGACTCTGAAGGCACTGCAGCAGTTTTCTTACTGGCTAGACATGATTTCGGACGTGCAAAAGTACGTGAGCATGTGTCAGACCTACCAAACAATGAAATCATCACGTCAGCGGTCAGCAGAACTGTTGCAGCCCCTCGAGCCACCTGAGCGACCTTGGCAACACGTAATGTAACAATGGATTTTGTCACCGGCTTGCTGGCCGAACCAAGTGGAAGCGACGTGGTCACTTCGCGCCATGTCGCACGACGATCACAGCCGAAGAAACCAAACGCCTGTTCATCTTGGTCCTCGTTCGCCTGCATGGTATCCCTACGGCGATCATCACGGACAGAGACCTGAAATTCACCTCGTGCTTCTGGCAAGACACGTGGGACCAATACGGCACTCGCCTACAGTTCTCATCTGCCTATCACCCGCAAATCGACGTTCAGACAGAACGGACAAATCAGACCATGGAACAGTTGATTCGCACGAACTGCCCGGATATCAGCAAGTGGGAAGATTCGCTACCCATGCTGGAGTTTTCCTACAACAATGCACCCTCCTCCACGACCAATCATTAGCCCTTTTTCCTGAATTATGGGATAGATCTGACAGTACCCATTTCCACCAACGTCAGAAGCCAAGTCCCCCGCTCGCAGCAGTTCGTCGAAGAGCTCCAAACTGCCCGCACAAAAGCCGTTGAATTTATCCGAAAAGCCAATGTCACTACCAATATGCCGACCGCCACAGACGAGATATTAAATTGACTGCAGGGAAACTAGTCCTCCTTGACACCAAAAACCTTTGCCTGCAGCTATCGTCAAAACTTTGACCCCGCTACTGTGGACCTTTCAAGATCATCAAGATGATAACGCAAGTGATCGCCCAGCTCCGCCTACCCGACGATTGGAAAACTCATAATTCCTTCCACGTCAGCCTCCTTCGTCGTTTTGTTGCCAACACATCAAACGTCGCACGACAGCCGATCGCCTAGGATCTACGGCCAGCAAAGGAGACGCTTATCGAACCAGCAAAGATCCTGAGCCATCGTGTAAGAATCAACGGCCAGGAACGACACGTTGACTTTCTCATACAATGGACCCATAGTACCAGCGAGGACGACAGGTGGGTTCCCACGGTACGTCGCAAATATAGACCACCTTCGCTAGAGGGGGGGTAGTGTAAGGAATTTTTCATTCCTTAGCACGCCACACCGCCAACGCATACACCGACCCCATACGGCACCGACATCCGCCCTAGCTTCGGCCCAAACGCGGCACCGAACCATTTCTGCATCACTCCGAAGCGCTCCGTGTCCTCGGATGCCTTCTTCGAACCTGTTCGATCACACGGCTAGGATTTCTTTGGTGTTCCTATATCTTGCTTCGTCATTCCATTGTACCACATTTTGTTATTCCGAATCTCGGCATTCGATTCCGCGCTAACAATTTGGGTAGCTTTTTGTCTAGCGACTTTAGATTTGGGTAGATTTTAGTCGTTCCCTCCTAGACGCCTGAGGGGTTGGTCAGGAGGGAGAGGGGATAATTTGCGGACAGGGCAGGTTTCGAGACGGTATGGATTACACAGCGGATGCAATGCATGCCCATAAATATACGAATCGAATTTAGGAGAGTCATCTGACTAGACGGCTCGTCGCATGAAAACCCAAGCAGCCAATTCCGAGCAAAATGGATGTCACAAGCCCTTCAAGCAAGAGCGACGAGTATCTTCGAATGCGAAAGCCAACAGCGTGTAGGCACATGCAACCCCACAAAAAAGGGGGTCACCAATCAGCGGCGAGTGGCAGAGTCCAGCTCAAAACTGAATGCGAAGGAACAAGCTACCGTAGCAATATGCTCCATTGTCAGATCTGGCTGGTAGAAGTACAAAAGAAAATGGAGTACACATACGGTCACTTCCGAGTGCAGCAAGACTACTCTCCCTCAAATCGCGGGCAGCACGGTCGCACTTCCCCGTTCCGCGTCTCGCGTTACGCACGTCATGCTGCCACTGCGTCCGGCCACCTGTTGCAGGCCGCGAACCGCCACTGAACGGTGTCCCACTGTATCCTGCTCGGCGTATCTCGCAACGCCTCTCGCTTCTCACACCAGATGCAGAATCAGATTCCCCCTTGCGCGCTAGATGCAAAACCGGATGGCCCAAATCTCGTGTGTCCAATCCGTGACATGCCAACACAACACGTGACACACACCTCCTGTAGCAAGCACCTATGGTGAGACTCTCAGAGTTAGCAAGTAACTAGAAAGATGGGGTACACGGAATATAAGCTAAGGTGTTGTACCCTCTAAGAGTACGCAATTATCTAGCTAATAGTAAAAACATATATGTATGTTTGAAACACCCCCTAGGCTAGATAAGGGGCAGTGTCCGGCAAGAGACAAGCAGCTCGGGGTGGCACTACTAGTCCAACCTCTGAGGCAAGGGCCTGAAGACTAGTCAGCAAGAGTAAAAACAAGACAAGAGAAACCCAGAGCGGCACTATAAGTACAGCCACTGGAACAGGGGCCACAAGGCTAGTCAAGGTAATATAAGATATAGTATACAATCAAGGTCCTAGCACGCGAGAAGCAACAGGAACTAGACCAAGCTGTACACAGTGTCGCTGATGATCTTTAGGCGCAAGCGCCTTCATAAAGATATCAGTTGTGTTGGCACCGGAGGCCAAGTGTACTACGCAGGCCTGACGACGCTGCTGCAGCTCACACAGGAGGAAGTACCACAGCTGGATGTGCTTCGCTCTACCCTCCAGTCAAGGCGCCTGACATAGGAGGATCATGACCCTGTTGTCAGCGTACAGGACCGGGGCAGAGCTAGGCCGCTCACCTAAGTCTGTGAGCAGGAAAGTCAACCAGTGGAGATCCTGTGCCACCATGGCACCGGCATAGATCTCAGCCTCACAACTAGACAGGGCAACAGACGACGAGCGGGTGGACCTCCACAAGATGGTGCCTGCACCAAGGCTAAAGTAGTAGCCCTGGAAGGACCCGAGGGTCTCAGCGTCGTCTTCCCAAGAAGCGTTTGTGTGTCCTGTAAGGACCACTAGCCTGCGTCCTCCTAGCACTAGCCCCATGCTCGATGTACATGCTAGATAACGAAAAACCGTCTTAGCGGCCGACCAGTGCTGTGGTTGGTGTCTGCCTGTGGCCACAAAGCGAGCCTGGATGCTGAGAGGATATGCGAGATCTGTATGAGTGCAAGTTATCAGGTACATGAGGCAGCCCACTAGGTCTGCGTACGGACCACTAGGCTCTAATGACTCCTCAGGGACTGGAGCTGAGAGCCTGTGATCTACAGGCAGAGGTGTGGGCTGTGCGGAGGAGAACTGAAGGCCAAACCTCTTAAGGACCTGGCGCACCAAGTGTGACTGTGTAAGAGTGATGGTGCACACTGCTCTGTCCCTGGAGATCTGCAGGCCAAGGTAGCGGCGCACCTCTCCTAGGTCAGTGCAAGTGTATCTCCTCAGCAGCTCAGCCTTCATGGAGGTTAGTGCATCTGTGTCTGCAGTAGCGAAGACCAGGTCATCTACGTAGACAAGGATGTAGAACGGGGTCTGGCCAACATGAACGAAGAGCGAGTGGACTGCAGATGACGAGAAGAACTACAAGTCAGCTAACGTAGCACGCAACGTGTTGTGCCACTCATGGGGCACATGCTGCAGGCCGTAAACTGGGCGCCAGAGTAGCCACTGGGTCCCTGAGGCGAAGGTGCCGGTGAAGCCTGGCGGGCGACGTAGGTAGACCTGCTCGTGCAGACTGCCCTGAAGAAACGTTGTCGAGAAGTCGAGAGAGTGCAGCTCGTAGTCACGCTGTGCTGCTACGTATAACAGCGCCCGAAGAGTAGTCATCTTCGGGGTTGGGGCGAAGGTCTGAAAGAAGTCAACACCATCGCGCTGGCTGAACCCTCTAGCAACGTAGCGCGCCTTGAACACCGGCGGCTCTCCGGGAGGGCACTACACTTTGAAGAGCCACCGGCCATCGTCTACGTTCACCCCAGGTGGGGGAACTGCGTCGGCGTAGGTGCCTGTGGATCTCCAAGGTGCCATCTCCGCGTCCATGGCAGCTATCCACTAAGAGGCCCAGGGTCCCGAGGTCGCCTCAGAGTAAGTGCGAGGGGTCGAGATGTCAAGGGCATCTAGGTCACCCTCAGGGACTAGCGGCATGGAGCAGAGATGAGAAGCCTCCTCAGACAGGAAATGCAGCTCGAACTGCTTGTCCCCTAGATCGTCACTACCAAGGGCAGGTGCACCTCCGACGGACGGAGGACGGGCATGGTCAGAGACCACAACAGTGGCATAGTCAAGGTGGCGGGTAGCGGCAAAGTCTGTGACGGCAGCGACTAGAACGTCAAGACTAGAGAGAGGAACAGACGGGTCGGTAATAAGAGAGGTGAGGACCTGAGGAATAAGAGGACTAGCGGCACGAAGGAAGTCAGACAGAGGAGGCAGAGCGACAGTCAGGGACGATGGAGGAGGCGACGGGAGGAGGGGAGGACGAGATGCGTGGGAACAAAGCATGATAGGGTGAGAACGCTGGACGTGAGAGACAGGACGAGCACGATGAGGAGAACGCAGGGAAATACAAGTGGGAGACGAGTCCGGTGGAGGAAACACAGGATCGTAGAGAGGTGGTTGAGGCGCAGGGGGGCAGGCAGGGGAGGAAAGACCGAGGAGGCAAAGGGCAGACGCAGCGACGACTGCTGCTGCTGCTACTCCACGCTGACACCAGAACCTCCAGCTGCACCATGGCTACCTCCGGGACACTCCACGCCAACACCCCAAGAGCGAGAACCCTCTCCAACATTGGTGCCATCCCAAGGACCGTCGGGACGAGCCACGACAGTAACCCCAGGAATAGCACCTACGGAACAAGCACCCCCAAAACGAGAACCCTCGATGCCACCCCCAGGACCACCGGGACAAGCCACGACAGTACCCCCAGGACTAGCACCCTCCTCAACGCCCGCACCCCAAGAGTGTGCGCACCTCTGAGGTGGCTGCTGCTGCGGCGGCGGCGAAGGAGGGGACACCGAGGCAGAGACAGGCGACGACACCGAAGCCGCGGAGCCCCCTGAGTCAGCCGACTCCTCGACCGAGACAACCGACGGGAGGGGAGTGATGTGAGACACACAAGACGGGGCAGGACAGGGAGGAAGAGGAGCAGAGCTACCGGGGGAGACCTCGGTGGGGAAAGCGGGTGTAGAAAGAGGCAGACTCGTCAAAAGTGACGTGACGGGAGTGAAAGAAACGGTGAAACGGCGGGTGGAAAAGGTGCCAGTCATACGCGTCGAGGGGGAAACCAAGGAAGACACAAGGGACGGTGCGGGCAGTGAGCTTGTCCGTGCCCTGAGGCACGGACGTGAGCAAGGCAGCCCCAAACGTGGAACGCAGACGTGTCTCCAGGGAACCCGGTCCAGAGAAGGGTCGGCGAAACCTGCGGCCGCTGGGAGTGTGGCCACTGGTTAAGCTGGTGAGCGTCGTAGCGAACCGCGAACAGCCACAGAAAATTGGGTGCACCGACATGGATCATGGAGGTACGAGCCACCTCCATGACCAAACCTATGCGTCGCTTAGCGACCCCATTCTGCTGCGGGGAGTCCGGCGGGGTGTATGACTGTATTATGCCCTCCGTACGACAGAATAGGCCAAGCCGACCAGAGGCGAACTCGTCGCCACGGTCGGAGTGGAAACGCAGCACGGGGAGGCCGCGGTGGACTCACACAGCTACGACCCATGAGATAAAGGCGCCAGGCATGTCGACCTTCCACTCCATGGGAAACACCATTGTGTAGCGCGTGAAGTCGTCGACAAGCACTAGAAATTAGCGCTCGCGACGCGGCCCAGGGATAGGGACGGGACCCGAAACATCTAGGTGCAGGGTCTGGATAGGCGCAGTGGTAGGGGGGAGCGAGAAGGAGTGGGGAGCATGGCGCAACCGGCCCTCGACAAAGGGCGTGCACCGCGGCGCAGGCGAGGGAGGGAGGGCAGGGAGCGACGCAGGGAGACCACGGACAAGCGCGTGATGGGACATGTGACGCAGACGCGGGAGAGTGGAGTGACCTAGACGGTGGTGCTACAGCAGGGAAGGGTGGGTGAGCGACTGACACGAGCAGGCTGCAGCTACCTGAGTGGATGCAGTGATGTGGGGGGATGCTCCGACCGGGGTAAACGCAGTGTCCAGCGTGAACAGCCCTGATACGGGGTCCCGGCGGAACGTGGTAAGAGGGGCACTAGTGGCGGCCTCGGTACAGACGGCGTACCGCTCGTGTCCAGGGAACGTAGTGGTGATGCCAATGTCCTAAAGACAGCCGACACCGACTAGGTTCCTGGAGAATGAGGGGATGTGCAAGCATGTAAGAGAGCCTGAGGGAACCGCCGGACAAAGAAGGGTAGTGGAACTACGTGCGACTACCGGGCCTGAGGAGGGGTCAGCCAACGCTACAGCGGCAGGGGCAGCAAGTGGCGTGAGCGAAGTGTGGTCGCAGAAGAAACAGGCAGACGTTCCACAGTCGAGCATGAAAGAGAGCGATGCAGTAGCGTCTGCAGTAGCAGCGGTTGGCGGAGGGGCTACCATAGAGCTTAAGCTAAACCAAGCAGGAGGTCCTACACCTGACTCAGCAGGGGAACATAGACTACACAGAGGGGGCACACCTATACTAGGCAACACAGCGTAATAAGATCCGGTCACATTGGAGTCATCACCATACATAACATACATGGCAGTCCTAATATGATCCATGTCAAGCTCAAAGACGGGCACACGGCGGCGGGCCAGGGCATACCAGTCAGGAGGGTCCGAGGTGGGACCAAAGCGCAGACGATAGAGGTCGTCGAGGCAGCGGTAGCAACGGGCGACGGTGTGACGTGGACGGTCGCAGACCGTGCCGCGGGGGGGGGCGGTCTGGAGCTGGTACTGGCAGGTGGCCACACTGGAGCCGCCACACGACACCGGGTCGCGCGGGGCACCACCACGACCACCACCACCAGTGCCACCAGGCCACCACGGCGGCGGGGGTCCGCACGGCGGCTGCTGCTGCTGCTCCAGGGCACCAGCCCCGGTCGCCTCGTCTGCACCACCGTCCCCGCCCCCACCTCCACCACCCCCACCACCCCCTCCACCCTTCCCTCCACCACGCCCCCCCTTGGGCCGGCGGCCCCTACGCTGACGCTGTTGCGCTGAGGCTGCGGCGGCGGTCTAAGCTGCAAGGGCTATCTCAGCAACAGCGCAGAAACGTCAGAGTGTTTGCACTCGGAGGGAGCACAGCCCTGGAAGATAGGGACCGGCGCAGTACCGCTAGACTGAGGGATAGTGCGCTGGCGGGTCTCTATCGCAGACAGGGCAGTGACAAAGGCTGGGAGGGTGAAGTCACCTGGGTGCTGACTAGGGAAGTGGTCGTAGGCAGTGGCTAGGCGGTCAAGCAGGCTTGTGGCAATGAGGTAAAGGGTAGCGCAGAGCGGCGTTGGGAAGGCAGTGAGTTGTGCCTCAGTGCTAGTGGCCTGGTAGCTAGCCTCCAGTGCGCGGAGGTGCATGGCAAGGTCAGCGATAGTGGGAAAGGACGCAAGGTCAGGGAACAGCATGGGGAGGATCAGGCGGCCGGCAAAGGTTGAGGCAGTGGTGGAATAGCGCGCGATGATGACATCTAAGTAGTCCTTGGCGTTCGCTACAGCGGTAAAGCGAGGACGCTCGGACAGGGGGAGGGCGTGGCTAACGGCAAGCTGAGCAACAGTGTCGCGTGAGTCCCAGACAGCACAGGTAGGATCGGCAGCGACAAAAGCCTCACGCTCAGCGGACGTGGGGGTGGCAGGGAGGGCAGCAGGCGGGGCGGGGCGAGGGAGCTTACCGTCGACATGGACGGCCAGGGAGTGGCCGTCGTGGCGCTGCCCTGTCAGCTGGCGGCGGAGGTCGACGAGCCACGCCTCAAACTCAACGGCCCGACCCTCCGCGTCCAGGCGGAGCAGTGAGTCTGCCATCAGCACGGCTGCAGCAGCGGACTGCCGCTGGCAAGGGGAGGAGGAAAGGCGGAGGAGGGCGGCGGAGAGCAATCGAGTGAGGTGGAGTGCGGTAAAGAATGGTGGAGAGCGGTGGAGTGCAGTGGAGTGCGGTGGAGAGCGGTGGAGTGCGGTGGAGACAGCCAGCAGGAGTGCCGGCTCAAAAGGGAGCCAAGGCTGGTAGGTTGGGGCGGAAGAGCGGCACGGCGGCGCAGCAACACGGCGGCGCAGTGACACAACGTCACAGCGGCATTGCGGCTCGGCGGCTGGTCGGCCCGGGGCCGGCGGAGCCGGTGCTGGTGGAGCCGGTGCTGGTGGAGCTGTGGGCCAGCGAGCTAGGGGCCGGCTAGCTGGGGACCGGCAGGCTAGGGCCTGGCGAGCGCGGGGCCAGCGAGCTAGGGGCCAGTGAGTGCGGGACTGGCGGGCGGGGGTCGAGCGAGCACGGGGCCGGCAAACGCAGGGCCAGCCGGGCGCAGGGCTGGCGAGCGCGGGGGCCGGCGAGCACGGCGCTGGCGGGCGTGGGGCTGGCGAGCGCGGGGCCAGGAAGCGCGGGGCCAGAAAGCGCGGGGCTGGCGAGCGCGGGCCCAGACAGCACGGGGCTGGCGAGCGCGGGGCCAGCGAGAACGGGGCCAGCGGCGCGGGGCTGGTGAGCGCGGGGCCAGGAAGCGCGGGGCTGGTGAGCGTGGGGCCGGCGAGCGCGGGGCCAGCGGGCGCGGGGCTGGCGAGCGCGGGGCCAGAAAGCGCGGGGCCAGCGGACGCTGGGCTGACGAGCGCGGGGCCAGAAAGCGCGGGGCTGGCGTCTACGAGCTGCTGGCGGCTACGGTCGGCTGGCGGCTACGGGCGGCCAGCGGCTACAGGCTGCTGGCGGCTACGGGCGGCACGAGGCGACGGGCGGCCAGCGGCAACTAGCGATGGGCGGCTAGAACGGGCAGCTAGGAACGGGCGGCTAGCGACGGGCGGCTAGGGCTAGGACTAAGGCGGAAGCGCGGGTGGGCGGGGAGGACCTAACCTAGCGCATGATACCATCTCAGAGTTAGCAAGTAACTAGAAAGATGGGGTACAAGGAATATAAGCTAAGGCATTGTACCCTCTATGAGTATGCACCTATCTAGCCTATAGTAACAACATATATGTATGTTTGACAGAGACTATGCCACACACAGTCAGGCGTCTCAGATTCCTCTCGTCTTTATGCGATGCACAGAGCACAGCCTCCGTTGCGCTCTTGAAGCATGCTCTATATTTCTCCGTGGTCTTGATACACGTCGAAGGCTCGAAGCTGAGTTTGTGTCCAGTGCAGATGGTATGGTATGGTGATGCGGCAACACCAGCTTACAATCTTGTAGTCTTGCCGAAGGAGTATCCCCCCATCCCATCAGTCAGTACCCTATGTACCCATCCTCTAACCAGCCAACTCATGCTTGTGATAGGAATTGGAACCATCTCACGTGTATTGATTGATAGTATGACATGTAGTGTGGTTGACGATCAAAAGAAGAAGGCTTGAGAGATTCCAATGCTAAACTGCGTCAAAAGTTCCTCACTGCTCGCTGGTACCAGTGAACAGCATGGGATGGGATGGGATGGTACCTAGTTACTGCTGGTCCCTAGTTATAGCCATGGTCCAACCATCCTATCCCACCCACACCCATGAACATTTCACACCATTCAGCCAGACCATAGTACCAGTATGCCAGAAAGTGTCAAAACTATCAACTGCATCCTACCAAGCAACACCCAGCACAGCCCCAAGAAAACACCTCAAGGGGGCTCTTCCATCAACTCAAAAGTCACCCCTTCCTCCCCTCCCCCTGCCTCCACGACCACCGCTGCGCCCTCGTCCCCCCCTCCCCCCAAAGCCCCGCCCCCCTCTGCCCCTGCCTCCCCCTCTCGCCTCCCCTCGCCCCCCACCTCCCCATCCTCCTCTTCCACGTCCCCCCCGCCCTCCCCCTCCCCGCCCCCCCTCTCCGCGTCCTCCCCCCCTTTCCCCCCATCCTTCACCTCCTCGCCCCCCTCCCCCACCTCGCCCTCCCCGTCCCCCTCCGCCTCCCCATCCGCCCCTTCCGCCTCCCCCTTCCCCCCCATCACCATCAAACCTCGGCCTCTTTGCCATGTGGCCAGGGGAAGAGCCAAACGACCCTCCACCCCTTCTCCCTCCTCCTCTTCCACCTGCTCCTCCCCTCCCCCTCCCCTCCCACCTCCCCTTCCTCCCCATTCATCCCCTCTTCCTCCTCCTCCTCCTCCTCCTCCGTCCCTTCCACCTCCCCGACCCTCCCCCTGCCACCGCCACCGCGGCTACTCCCATCCCCTCCTCTTCCTCTCCCCCTCGTCCCCTTCCCTCGCTTCGCACCGCCTGCACCGAAACCCATGGCATCAAGATCCCCATCATCATCATCATCATCCCCATCACCATCCATCTCCCCATCATCCTCGTCCTCATCCTCCTCCTCCTCTTCCTCCTCATCACTAAAGCCCTCCCCATTGTCATCACCCATCTCCCCATCATCATCCTCCTCCCCTCCCCCCATCTCCCCCTCACTCTCACTGTCCGACAGCTCAAAGTCCTTCACCACATCCTCATCCATGTCCTCGTCATAAGCAGCCCCATTAGCAGCCTTGCCTGCCTTGGTCTTCTTGCCCCCCCCAGCACCAGTTTCCCTGGGCCGCTTCTTGGAAGCCTTTGCCCGTCCCTGCTCCTCCTCTCCCTCCGCTCCCCCTTCTCCCTCCTCGCCCATGTCTCCCTCCTCTCCCTCACTCCCCTCCCCATCCACACCCTCCTCGTCACTCCCAAAGTCGTCGTCATCATCATCATCGTCGTCACTTGCAGCATCACGCTTTCCTCCCTTGCCTGTGTCCTCTTCCTCTTTGAACACCAACCTGCAGGGAGCATACACACCAATGCAAACACCACAAACCCAACCACAGCACAGGCAAGCACACACCACAGGAAGACTTGTGAAACACCGTTTTGCACAGGCCAGCAGCTACACAGGCACCTCAAGCCACACAGGCCAGCAGCTACACAGGCGCCTCAAGCCACACAGGCCAGCAGCTACACAGGCGCCTCAAGCCACACAGGCCAACAGCTACACAGGCACCTCAAGCCACACAGGCCAACAGCTACACAGGCGCCTCAAGCCACACAGGCCAACAGCTACACAGGCGCTTCAAGCCACACAGGCCAACAGCTACACAGGCGCCTCAAGCCACACAGGCCAACAGCTACACAGGCGCCTCAAGCCACACAGGCCAGCAGCTACACAGGCGCCTCAAGCCACACAGGCCAACAGCTACACAGGCGCCTCAAGCCACACAGGCCAACAGCTACACAGGCGCCTCAAGCCACACAGGCCAGCAGCTACACAGGCGCCTCAAGCCACACAGGCCAACAGCTACACAGGCGCCTCAAGCCACACAGGCCAGCAGCTACACAGGCGCCTCAAGCCACACAGGCCAGCAGCTACACAGGCGCCTCAAGCCACACAGGCCAACAGCTACACAGGCGCCTCAAGCCACACAGGCCAACAGCTACACAGGCGCCTCAAGCCACACAGGCCAACAGCTACACAGGCGCCTCAAGCCACACAGGCGCCTCAAGCCACACAGGCCAACAGCTACACAGGCGCCTCAAGCCAGCCACATATCACAGGGGCAGTGTATGTATGAGGGCGATCGGGAGTCAAGAACGCTTGGCACGGCACGGCACGGCACACCATGGCACAGCACGGCATATCATGGCATAGCAAGCACCCGGGAGAAGGGCCCTTACTCTGCGGGTTCGAGCTTCTGGCGCTTGGTCTCCACCTGGCGCTGCATCTCACTCGCATACCGGACCAACGCGTTGCTGCCCTTGGCCCGCTCCTCCTGCGGGGGAGAGAAAGAGAGGAGCGCGCAGCGTTTTCGCACAAGAGGAGCGACGGAAATATGATGGCGGTGCTTGTAGTAGTGGTGGAATGGGGTGGGGACGGAGCGAGAGGAGGAGAAGGGTAGGGTAGGGTAGGGTACACGAGAGAAGCAGCGCGTCTTTTGAATGGGCTCAGGGAAACAAAGGAAACACATCAAGGGATAAGCGAGCAATGGGAAGGCCATTTGCTTGTTCTCTGAAAGACAAGGAGAGAGGAGTGACGATGCAAGGAGAAAACGGGTGTGTTTCTGAACAGAGGGACGGAGGAACAGAACAGAGAGGCCAGCCATTGCCAGAAAAGGCGGTGCAAGAGCAGGCAGTGCAAGCATAGGCGGTGCAAGCCTAGGCGGTGCAAGCATAGGCGGTGCAAGCATAGGCGGTGCAAGCATAGGCGGTGCAAGCATAGGCAGCGCAAGCATAGGCAGCGCAAGCATACGCAGTGCAAGCATAGGCAGTGCAAGCATAGGCAGTGCAAGCATAGGCAGCGCAAGCATAGGCTGTGCAAGCATAGGCGGTGCAACGGCCTAAGCAGATCAAGGGCCTAGGCAAAGCAAGGGCCTAGGCAGCGCAAGGGTAGGATACCTGGAGGAAGGAGGCAGCCTGCGCAATGTCTCTGGGCCCGTATGCCACCTTGTCCCTGGCCCTCTCCACCACCTCCGCATTGCGCTCCATCTGATGGGTGACGAGTGAGGGAAAGGAAGAGGCACGGTTGGTGGAAACTGGTCCAGAGGAAGAGCGTTCCAGAGTGCCTCAGAGAAGCAAACGAGAGGGGCAATGGAGGAGGGATGAGAAACCAGCAGCAGCAGCAGCAGCAGCAGCAGCAGCAGGACAACTGATAAAGAAACCCCCCCAAACCCCCCCCCCCTCCCTCTCACTTGGGCAATGAGCCCCCTAGATCTGCCTGCAGAATCGATCCATGCCGCAGTGCTTGTGGGAGGCGCACAGGTGGCTAAGCGGCAGCAGGAGCAGCAGAAGCAGCAACAGCTCCCCTCCCCCACCTTTCCCTACCCTTGCTTGCTCCCCCCTCAACTTCTCCCTACCTGGTCAATCAGCCCCTTAATCTGGCGCCTGAATCGGTCGACGCGGCAGTGCTTGTGGAAGGCGCGCAGATGGGTGAGCGGCAGCAGCAGCAGCTCAGGGAATGAGATGGAGAAGGACCACTGCGACGCGAACAGCGCCAGCTGCAGAACAGTCTCCTCCACCACCGCCTCCTGGAAGGTGCGCGAGCGCACCACCTGCTTGGGCACCTGGGGAGAGGAGGGACGGGGTGGAGCGGGAGGGGAGGGGGGAGTGGGAGGAGAAAGGACAGTGAGGTAAATGAGGCACGGGGTTGCGGGGAGACGGTGATGAAAGGACGGCAACTCGGCTCGGGGAATGTGATGGAGAAGGACCACTGCGACGCGAACAGCGCCAGCTGCAGAACATCACATCTTCCTCCACCACTGCTTCCTGGAGGAAGGTGCGCGAGCGCACCACCTGCTTGGGCACCTGGGGAAGTGGTTGATCCAGAGCCCAGAACAACAACATAGTTACAATTGCTCCCACTCAGGCGTGCGCTCGCAGTACCTTGAGCGAAGTCGCGAGGTTGATGCTCTGAACAGTGGCCCCTGAGGGAGCATGGTGCAGCTCCTTGATCTGCAGCACGTCCACCAGCACCGGCGCCACCGGGATGTAGTGCCCTGGAGGGGGTAAGAGGGGCGGAGGTAGGGGTTGGAGGGGTTACAGGCACAGGTTGGGGTATGGGTTGTGTGCGGGGTGTGGGGTTTAGAACAGCATGGTGCAGCTCCTTAATCTGCAGTACGTCCACCAGCACCGGCGCCACCGGGATGTAGTGCCCTGGAGGACGGCGGGGGGGGGGGGGGGGGGGGAAGGGAGGAGTGCTACAGGCACAGGTTGGGGTATGGGTTGTGTGTGGGGTGTGGAGCAGAAGGTTGGGGTGAGGTATAGACAGAGGTTGGAGTAGGGGTTGCGTGTGGGGTTTGGAATAGGATGGAGGAGCTCCCTCCTTGATCTGCAGCACGTCCACCAGCAGCAGCAGCACAGGCGCCACTGGGGGATGTTGCGGCAGGGAGGGGGTGGGAAGACTTTTGAGTCGACTCAAAAGCCACCAGCAGCACAGGCGCCACCGGGGGATGTAGTGGCGTGGAGGGGGTGGGAGGAGTGTGTGGGGGGGGGGGGGGGGGGGAGGGGGGGGTGTAGGGGACGTGGAGGGTGAGGGACAAATACTAACAGTTGGCAAAGATATCGCACTGCGACATAGCGCGTCATGGCAAGGCACAGCATAGAGCAGCCTTACCAGTAGCGGAAGACAGCAGAGACAGCAGAGACAGCATGCGCGTGCACTGGAAGCGCAGCAGCAGGTAGCGCACCGTAGGCACCAGGCGAGCCACCCAGCCTAGCAACGCACAGGCACAGCCAGGCACATCACAAACGACCCTTACCAGTAGCCGACGACAGCAGAGACAGCATGCGCGTGCACTGGAACCTCAGAGGCAGGTAGCGTGCCGTGGGCACGAGGCGAGCCACGCCCGAGATGATCTGTGCCAAGGGGTACACGAGGGCCAACAGCGGGGAGCGACTGCCGTGCGATGCTGCATCCATGGGACTAGCGGCAGACGCCACAACCACCGCAGACGCAGACGCAGAGGCGGAGGTGGAGGGGGAAGAGGGGGAGTGGTGCGGGTGCTGGTGCGCGGCTGCCTGCACGCAGAGCACACGCGTCCAGAGGTGCAGGCAGTTTATGTACTGCCAGCAGTACACCTTGAGATATGCGTCCTGAGGGGAATAGGGGGATAGGGGGGAGGGAAGAGGCAAGCGCGAGGAGTGAGAGGCATGAAAAAGGAAATGTGAGCCGGGAAGGATGTGGCTTGGTTGTCTTAGAATTCCAACAAAACCGACTAAGAATATGAGCCGTGGAAGGACAAGGAGAGCCGGGAGGGTGAGGGGCTGCAGAATGTGGCTTGCTGCAATCGAATCCACTAAAGCAACAGCAACAATGTGAGCCAAGCCAGGAAGGGTGAGCAGGAAAATGTGAGCAGTGCAGTGCAGGTGGTGGATGCAGGTGGCTTGATGGATACAGAGCAGTGGATGCAACAGGCGGCCATAAACTGTAACCGATCAACGTGGCTTCTTTCTTTCTTTCTTTCTTTCTTTCTCCCTCAACTTGGTCTTCATGCTGAGGGCTCCCCTCAGCAATAAGGCCATCTGCCTTATCGAAACGAACGCGTGCGGGTAGACGGCCGCGGGGTTCGTGAGAGCGAGCTCCGCCGCTCCGGCGCAGAGGAACGCGATCCTGGGCAGCGAGGACGGCGACACGAACTTGCACTGCGCCGCACAGTCTTCCACTCTCTCTCACCTTCCCACCCTCCCTCAACTCCAAGCCCCCGAAAACCCCTTCCCTCTCACCTTGGTCTTCATGCTCAGGGCTCCCCTCAGCAGCAACGCCAGCTGTCGGATCGACACAAAAGCGTGCGGGTAGACAGCCGCGGGGTCCGTGAGCGCGAGCTCCGCCACTCCGGCGCACAGAAACGCGATCCTGGGCAGCGAGGACGGCGACACGAACTTGCACTGCGCCGCAAACTCCCGGTATGCCTGCCGCACGATCGCCTCGACCCAGTCCGACGGCAGGAACAGCGCGATCTCCCGGAGGACCACCAGCGCAGCGAGCGGGAGCGAGCCCTCCCCGGACCCCCAGAGGTGGATGGCGATGCGCACGAGCTTCTTGCCGATGATGGGGAAGCTAGCGAGCAGCGGCATGGAGGGTTTCAGGCAGCGCAGCGCGAAGGTGAGCAGGCGGGCGTCGGTCATGGTAGAGAGCAGGTGCACGGCGGTGGAGAGGTAGTTGCGAACGATCTGGCTGACCTTGGACCACCGGGGGCTCGCCTCCCAGTCCTTCACCATCGAGTCCACCCCCGCGCTGCCCCGCCCCCACGCGTCCGCCTCGCTCCGCCCTTTCTTCTGCTTCCGCTGCAGCTCCCTCAGCTTGCGCTTCCCCATCTTGGTGCCCCCCTGCCCGTCCTGCCGCCCCTTGCCGTCGGATACGTCGCTGAGCAGGATCCGGACGATCCTGTCCGTCTCTTTAAACGCGAAGAGGATCACGCGGTTGAAGACGTTTCCGCTGGCCAGCCGGTACTGCGGCTTGCGCTCCTTGTGCTTCATCTTGCCGTTTGCAGTCAGCCCAAAGCCCTCCTCGCCCTCCTCCCCCCCCTCGTCCTCCTCGTCCTCATCCTCCTCCCCTCCTCCACCCTTCCCTCCCTTCTTCTTCCCTCCCCCACCGCCTGCGCCTGCGCCCTTGCCTTTCCCCCGGCGCACCACGCCGGTGAAGCTCTCAGCGTCGTGGCACGCCGAGTGGAACGCCTGCATGAGCTTCTTCATCGCGCCCTGCGACTTACCGTCCATCGCCGCCTCGATCCAACGGTCCACCATCTCCGTCGTCAGCATCGGCAGCACCCCTGACTTGCCCTTCCCTCCTCCTCCTCCGGCTTTCTTCTCACCATCATCATCCTCCGCCTCCTCGTCTTCCTCCTCCCTTTCGTCGCCCTCTTCTCCTTCTTTACCCTCCTCCCCTCCTGCAGTTTTCCCTATGCCTTTTTTCCCCTGACCTTCTGCGTCTTCCTTGAATTCCAACAGAGATTGGTCCGTTTCCACCAGAAACTCGTAGAATGCAGGATCCTGACACAAACGCAGGCATGGACGTGGCACAAGGAGCAGAATATAGTTTTGCGGCAGCTAAAAAAACGGAGGAGATAGTTCGAGACGCTTCACTGCCACGAGATTGCAAGAAACAAGAGGAGCAACAGCCGAATCAAGTGAAAGAACAGCTCCTGCCACTGATAGATCAGCAACAGCCTGTCAGTACCCTGTTAAAACCCTGAACCCCTCACTACCAACATCTTAAACCCATTACCCGATACCACCCAACCCCCACAATACACCACCCAAGAGCCCCAAAAGGCACTTCGCCCCCAAACGAATACACCGCCTTCCCGTCCCACCCATATTACTACTCCCTTGTCCCACCTTTTCATAAACCCTTGTCCCCAACCGCATTGTACCCCCCACCAACCCTCACCTTCTTCTTCAGCGCCTCCAGCTGTTGCTGATGGCTCCTCCTCTTCCTCGCTTCCTTTCCCTTCTCCCCCTTCTCCCCCTTCTTCTCTTCCCCCACTTTCTCTCCTCCCTCTTCACCCTCCTCCCCCTCCTCCTCGTCCTCTTCGTCGTCTTCCGCCATACCGATCCGCGCCAGGGAGATTTCCTCGAACCCTTCCTCCCCTTCCAACGCGTCCTCGTCCACCTCCGCATCTTCGTCCACCCCCCCATCCTCCTCATCCTCCTCATCCTCCTCCTCCTCCTCCACTACCTTACCGCGTTTCGTTCCTTCTCCCTTCCCAACCTCATCCGCTTCGTCTTCCTCCTCGTCCTCCTCTTCGTCTTCCTCTTCCTCCTCATCCTCCTCCTCCTCCTCCTCCTCGTCTTCCTCGTCTTCCTCCTCCTCCCCCTCCCCCGCCTCGCCATCACCCGCTAGCCCCGCGAAGTCGTCCATTCCCAGCAGCTCGTCCACGCCCAGGTCCTCCAGCCGCCTGATGGATCAAAAGAGAGGAGCAGAAAGAGAGAGCCAAGACAAGTGCACAGCGAGAACAAGAAATGCGGCATGTTGCTACCGAGTCGAGACCGTTCCCAGCAGCTCGTCCACGCCCAGGTTCTCCAGCCGCCTGATGCGGAGCAAACGCGAGCAGCGCAAGAGAGGCGGAAAGAGAGGACAAGAAATGCGAGAAGTTGTGAGGCGGCGGTGGAACGAGGTGCGGCAACCCAAGAGGTTCCACGGAAAGGGGGGCGGAAAGGGCAGGGGAATGGGAAAGGGGGCGGACAGGAAAAGGGTGGAAGAGGCGGGGAGCGATGCGGAGAGATGGGGAGGGGACGGGGAGGGACGGGGAGAGGATTCTTTTGAAAGTGCGTATACCAGAAAAATACCTACCAAACAGTAACTCTGAATGCTGACTCCACTATACATCTTTAAGCCCTGAACCCCCCCAATAGCAAACCTGGCCTGGCCAAACCCCTAGGAAAATATAGAAATCCGTTCTATCCGCTTCCAAGTATTCTCAACTCACTTCTTTTCTTTCGTCGGCTGCTGTAGCGGCAGCTTGGCGATCCCGAGGGCTTCGGCTGGAGGGTTTAGGGAGGATAGGCGCAGTAACCATCAGACCTTCGAATATCTTTCGGACCATCAAGCCCTTGGAAACAAAGAGTACGAGACTTAAAAACGTTTGTGGGAGAGTATCCCATGGGAACTGGATGCGTGAATACCCTATTTATGAGGCGTCTCAAAAAAGCCATGCGTGAGGAGTCTATTTTTGCGGCGCCTCTCAAAAAGTTTGTGGGAGAGTATCCCATGGGAACTGGATGCGAGGATGCCCTTCGTAACCAATGATCGGGATTCCGATCTCACGAGAACAAATGAGACGAGGATGGAGATGAGGCGAGGTACGGACCCTTCTGAGCCTCGGCTTCATCCTCGGGAATACCACCGCCGCCGCTGCTGCGCTTGGCGCGCTGCTGCTTGATGGCCTTGAAGCGGCGGCGCTTCTCGATCTCCTTGGTGAGATGCTTGCGCACGAACTTCTTCGTCCGCTTCTGCTTCTTCGCCATGGCGCGCAGAATTCAAGGGAAGAAGCTCAGACGATTCGCAGGGGATCGTAATTGTACGGAGTTGATGGATCGATGGTGACTGATTCTGGGAAACTAGGGTTCTGGGGGCTGGGTTGGGATAAGCTGGGGAAAATAGTGGTGGGGTTGCTGAAGCTTTCCACCTCGAGGAATTGGGTTTGGGAGGAGACAGTACCATTGCGATGGCTAATTGCGCGTATATAGTGCAAGTGTTTCTTCGAGTTTGAATTCGCTAGGAAACGGAGTTCTACACAATCCGGTGGTACGGGACAATCATATCTACGCGATTGCTGTGTGATTGCAACGAAAAAGTTATTTGGCGAAAAGAAGTACAGTTCTTGCGTTAGAATGCCCAGGTTCGAGTGAGCTGTTACAATATCGAGCTTCCCGAGCTTTCGGGGCTTTCGCGAGTTGGCGGTTTGTCGGTCGCCACTGGATGCCCAACCAGTTGTGCTGCTGCTGCTGACCCGTAAAAGCATGCAGCCTGTCGTTTCGTTCGGCCATCGATCGCAAGCTCGTCATTTCAACTTTCCAAAATTGGTCGCAGCAGTCGTAGGATGTCCTCCGCCATCCATGATCCACCTACCCGTCGCACAAGTCGCAGGATTCTCAGCCAACCGATAGGCATTCCCCGCATTAGAAACGATGCGCTTGGCCTTTGCGCAACACGCCCCTCCTCCTCTCCTCCCCACCCCCCCGCGCCCCCACCCCCCCCCCCCCCGCCCCACCCTCAAAATTCATCGCGCCAGCGGAGGGTTGCCTCCACCCAGTCCTACCACCCGCAACGCTTTCCTGCACAGCCAGAAATTTCAGCTGTTTACTAATGAATTACTTGTCGCAGTCAGCTAGGGCTTGGGGAAGTCGGCGACCTCGAGACAATTGAGAGAATCGAGGCTGGGCACTCGGGGCACAGGCCCAGGGACTTGGAAACATTTGGATCAAGTCAGAACTCATTGCAGTAGAGTAGAGTGGCAGGTTCTGCGCTCGGCTCCCGGTTCTGGGCCGAATATTTCGGTGCAGTTTGTTCCTATAAACGATTAATCTCCAATCTCTGTCAGCAGCGTATGCGTTTTGCAGCAAGCGTCTCCCTCCCCTCCGTCGCCGTCGCGTCACTGGCTCCCCTTGAGCACCCTTCTGCAGCTCGCTCCTTTCAATCCTTTCGAGACACCTCTTCACCGAACTAGTCTCTTCTCACACCGAGACTACTCCTCACACAGTGGCCTACCAGCCCTCGTACGTTCGCTGGAACCGATTGACTCACTGACTTTTTTTTGTCGACGCGAAAATCGACCTAGTCCGATCTCCTCACTGGCTAACCTCTTCTCGTCCATCGCTACAATTACCAGTCGGCGCCGCAATTGCTTGCTGCACCAGTCGGCGCCGCTCCTTATATTTGTAGCGCCTAAAGAGTAGGCTACTTACCTCTGGCCTCAACCGGTCGCCGCCATTCCTCGAGCACTTTAAACCTTCTCTCCGCGACTAGAGCATTCCAAGTGTAGTCCTCTCTATGTGAGAGTTATTTCGTTAGGATTTCTTTCAGCTCGAACCAATTCGAAAACTCTCGCGTGAAGCCTCTCCTCTCCCCACGCGCGGAGTGACACGTGGCGATGGGAGCGCACGTGTCGCGACAGGTGGACGGGCGGCTCGACGACCTCGAGGTGTATCAGCGCGCAGTGGCCGCCACGTTCTCAGAGCGCTCCAAGGCGCCGTCCGACAGCGTCGATGCGGCGCCGGGCATTCAGCAGGCGCACCTGCTCGAGGCGTGCAGCGCGGTGCTGCAGGTGTGTGTGCGGTTGTGGGTGCGTGTGGGGGTGTGTCGATTTGAGGCGGGCGCCTTAAAAGCACCCAGCAGACGCACCTATTCGAGGCGTGTAGCACTGGAGTGCAGGCGTGTGGGTGTCGACGCACACTGTTTTACGTTCATTAAAAGTAGCCCCCCCATGTTTTACTCTCATTAAAAGCAGCCTCCCTTCTTTTACGTGTCCCCGCTAATTCTACACCATTCTTAACTTCCCCCTTCTCCCCCTCTTCAGCGGATATCGGCGGAAGTGGATCCCCGCGCCGGCCGCGCCTGCCTCCGCGTGCCCACCCCGCGCGACCTCGACTTCGCGCTCTCCCGCCACTCCGCGCTGGCGCAGCTCCCCATGCTCTCCTTCGCGGAGTTCGAGCGCGTCACGCGCTGCGTCTTAAAGCGCGTCGCCGCCGATCGCGGGCGGCGCCTGCTGCTGTTCGTCGCGGGGGGGGTGGTGGCGGTGCAGATGACGAAGAACACGATTAGAAAGCTTCCGCTCGTCGGGGGGTTGGTGGCGGCGCTAGTGAGCGTGGTGTTTCCGACGTCGGTAGTCGGTCCAGCGTTAGGGGTGGCTGGGGCGCTGTACGTGGAGCAACCGCGACAGCTGCTGAACTGAGGGGAGATAGGGAGAGGGGGGAACGGGAATAGAGGGGAGGGGAGAAGGGGAGAAGAGGAGAAGGGGAGAAGAGGAGAAGGGGAGAAGGGGAGTGGGGAAGGGGAGGGGGGGGAAGGGGGGAAGGGGAGAGGGAAAGTGAGTTGTACAGGAGAAGGTCCAATCTAAGGCGGGCATGTGGCCATTGCTCCCACGTTCCACTTTCTCACCCTGACCATTTCGCCCTCTCCTAATGTCATCCCCTGCCAATTTTCCATGGTCGCTCATCCTCCCTCAATCACCCACCCTCTCAATCGCCCACCTGCCTCAATCGCCCATCCTCCCACATTGTACCATGGTCACTCCCAATTTACATTTTCTTACCCAACTGCTTTCGTGCCCGTGCTCAACCTCGTCTCTTCCGCCCTTCTCCACTCATTCCTCCACTGCCACCACATGCACACCCACCCACCCATTCCATGATCCCATCTGCTCTGCCCCTCTTCATCTGCACTTCATCTGCATGGTTTAATTCCGATTCCCACGTATGGCTTTAATCGCCATAGGCAACCTGCTCGCTTGCTGCCTCACCTCTTGTGGGCAGTGCACAGTGTTGCTATGGGGGGGATATAGGAGTACCTAGGACCTACCCAGTACCTGCTAGTATGTATATTGCTGCACATCAGCTGCAGCATGTGGTGGTACGCTCTGCAATTTATCAGAATGGTAGCATTAGCACCGTCAGTGCTGCTGCCACTAGCCATTGATAGGTGGTATGGCATGGCATGGCAGGCACTCTCCTCTCCAGGTATTGATTTATGCACAGCTGCTCATGCCATTAGCTATTAATTGAAGGACAGCTGTGTATGCCTGCTGTGACTGTAGTGTAGAAGCTCTAATGAGGGCGTATTCCTACAGAGTGGTGTTCAGTACCAGCAACGGAAATGGGTTCCTGAACACTCAGAATGAATTTTCCTACCGAGTCCAGTACCAGAACCAGAAGCTTGGTCGCTCGCGTGCCTTGTGATTGGTGGGTTGACCGAATAATATTCGCGAACTGCACCTGACGCGTCGCATGCATGCCGCGTGTCATTCCGTTTCGTCAAAACGAATTGTGCAAATCGTGCCACACCCTTGCGAATCGTGCAATCCTGGTACTGAACACCACTCCGTAGGAATACGCCCTTAGCCTGTTCCTCACATTCTTCTCCGCAGCTGTAGTTACTCTTGTCACAATAAACGCGCCACAAATTAGTAAATATACACCATCCATCACGATATGAACTTGAACAGGGGGTTTCAACAATTTTCAGGAGGGCTTGTCTGAAATCTTGTGTTACGAACCTACCTATGACATTGTACAAACAGCAGCCCAAGTCGACTCGTGCAATGGGCAGGTATCTAGTGAGAATCTCCACTCTGCTGCACCACGTTAATCCATCCACATGTTCGTGCTCCACTCCACCTGAACTACCAGTACTGCAGCATGGCAAGTGCTTGCCATCAGGCCTTTCAAAACGTGAGCTAGAAGCATGAGATAATCTATGCCATCAATAAGGCAAGGCCAGCAAGGGGGACATCATGAGGTGTATGGATTGGAGCTGGAAAGCAAGAGACAAGGGGCCGGGAGGGATCAATACTGGTGGTACCTTGAAGCCTGGTTGGGTTCTTTCTCACAGAAGGACTGCTCTGAGGTTCTCTCCTAACAGACACATGCCAGCAGCACCTACCAGTACCAGCTTCGCACAAGAAACAGACAGGCTCTCTCAAGCCTCAGCAGCACCTTCCTCCTCCCCTTCCAGTGCCGGTCTCACCCTCTGCCTCTCCTCGAAAGCCTTTGGCGCAGAATCAGCCACAGCTTCCAGCATCTCCTTCACACTTATTCTGAACCGCACCGCCACGGCTTGTATGGGGGATAACAGCCTGGATGGGTCACATTCCCCTCTCCATGCTGCTGAGTCCTCAGCAGAGCATGACATGGATGAAGAGATGTGCGAGGAGGATGCAGAAGAGGAGGAGGAGGAAGGGGCAGTGGAACAAGATGGCGAAGCGTCCACCCCCTTATCAGACCCCCCTTCCTCCCCCTGCACACTCCTCTCCCCCCCACTCGTCCCCTGCACCCCCTCCCCCTGCCTGATCTGCTGCTGCTGCTGCTGAGAGCACCGCAAATGCTGCCACAGCACCCCTCGGTCCCTCGCTAGAGACGTCGGAAACCCGTCAAGCAACTCCCGGCATCTCCTGCCCACGGCGACCAGTGCATTATCGACATCCATGACCCACTCCTCCTCCGTATCCTCCCAGTCCACCCCCTCCAGCCACCGCTGCACTGCTGCAAACGCCCCCAGCAACCTTGCATCCACCCGCGCATCCCGATACACATACAGAGGCGTGTCGTGCCCTGCTGCTCCTGCCGCGTCGTCCGCCTCCTCATCCCCCTCCCCTTCCTCTCCCCCTTCCTTACCCTCCCCGTGCGCGTCTTTATCGCCCTTTCCTGATTCATCCGGGGCTACTCTGTCATGCTCCACCTCAGCACCTTCCAGCGCCACCTGGACATACTCCTGAAACTCGTCGTCTGTGGGGGGGAACGAGTGCATGGTGCCTGAGCGCGTTTGGTAGTACCTGGGGTAGTGGAGGCAGTGGAAGGGGGGGGGAAGGGGAGGGATGTGAAGGTTAGAGAGTCCTTCTGAGCGAGTTTGTATGTATAGCTGGGAGGAAAGGAGGCGGCAGTGGGGAGGGGATGAGTGTGGCGTGGGGGCCAGAGGAGCAAGCAAGCAAGAGCAGCACGAGGAACACCCTCTCGATCACCACCACGCAAGCAAGCAAGCGATCACTAGCTTCAGGACGTGGTCACTGCTGTACTGCCCATAGTCCGCCACTCCTGCCCCTCCCCCCCTCTTCTCTTTCCTCGCCCTCTCTAAAAGCCAGCCACCAGGCGTTGGAACTGGCCTTTCCAACTGTACCAAGCACAGCATGGTCTAGTCACTTTTGAGGCGCCTCAAAAATAGGCTCCTCACACTGACCTTTCCAACTTTACCAAGCAGAGCATGATCTAGTCACTCTACTGTGATCTGGAGACAGGGGAAGAGATTTCCACCCAGTCCACACCCAACCCACGCCCAATCCACACCCAAACCACACCCAGCGCACCTCTCCAGGTACCAGGCAACAGCCTGCGTCATATCTTGGAATACGTCCGCCCGGTCGGCCACATTGTCCCCCGGCACGAAGCCGTAGGTGAGCAGGAAGTGGTCGCTGCTGTACTGCCCGTAGTCCGCCACCAGGGCGTCGCCCTGCATGATGGGATTCAGAGCCACCAGCTCCAGCCGGTCCTCGTGCAGCCCGGCTGAGTACCAGTCCACGTTCGCCTGGCGCCGTAGGTAGGAAGGGGAATGGGGTGTGGGGGGATTTAGGGGTCGGGACTCGTGAGAGATTTCACACGGCTACAGGTCTGCAGGTCAGGGCGGCTCAGATCGAAAGGGCGCCTTAATCGGGGTGCATCAGGCCAGGGTGGGAGCAGGTGGGGAGTGAGCAGGAAGTGGTCGCTGCTGTACTGCCCGGAGTCCGCCACCAGGGCCTCGCCACGCGCAATGGGGTTCAGAGCCACCAGCTCCAGGCGGTCCTCGTGCAGCCCGGCTGAGTTCCAGTCCACGTTCGCCTGGGGTAGTAGGAAACGCGGCAGGGAAGGGATAAGGGGAAAGTGGGGGAGCGGGGGTGTGGCGCCGAATGAACCACCAGCTCCAGTGAGTCCTCATGCAGCCTGGCTGAGTACCAGTCCACGTTCGCCTGGGGACGGGGCCCGTGGGAGGGAGGGGACGAGGCAGAAGTGGGGGAGTGCGGGAGTGGGGGTGTGGAGGAAAAAAAGCCACCAGCTCCAACCGGTCCTCATGCAGCCTGGCTGAGTACCAGTCCACGTTCGCCTGGCGGGGAGAGAAGGGGAGCAGGTAGGGATGGTGGGAAGCGGCAGAGACTAAGCCACCAGTTTCACTCACTTCCCCTGCAGACCAGCTGAGCAATAGCCCATGTTCACCTGAAGCGGGAAGAGGTGGGGAGGAGGGGAGGAGGAAGGGAGGGCGGGAGGATGGTGTGGCAGAAGGAGAAAGGGGATTCATGGGAGTTTGGAGCAACTGCAAGCCTGCAATTCCGGGGGCATGAAAGCGGGCGCATGTTCGGGTGATGAGCAGCACGCACATGCATGCTCCATGGGGCTTTTTTTACCGTGTTCGTGGGTGAGCAGGTCGGCGACAGGGAGGAACGCAAGCACGTGCATAAGTAGTTCAGTTTTGAGACGTCTCAAACCAAAACTACTCGCACACGCATGCTCAATGGGGCTTGCCTTGCCATTCGTGGTTGAGCAAGTCGGAGATAGGGAGGGAGAAGCACATGCACGAGCGAGCTGGCTGGAGTTGGCGCAGGTGGGGTGTGCTACTGCATGGAGCGTTCAGAAAAACATGCCGCATGAGTCCGTGGAGGTGAGGTGGATGTAATACACAGGACCAATTGAGGTATATTACCTTGCGAGGGTCGTGGTTGAGCAGGTCGGCCACAGGGAGAAACATTCGCATGAGGAAGTCGGTGCTGGTGGGGGGGTGTGACGGTGGAGAGACGTATGCAAACAGATGCATGCACACACACACACGCATGCACAAACACACACACACACACATGCACATGCACACGCACAAACACACGCGTGCGCGCGCGCGCGCACACACACACACACACACACATCCATGCAAAATGACTTATGCACACATTCACGCAAAATCACACCAATTCTCATGAAAACAGATGCATGAACACACATGCAAACACACGCACACACATGCACACGCACAAACGCAGGCACCCAAGGATCAATCAAACACAACACACACCCATCCCATACGCATGGCACAAAGAGGGATGAGATAGTGTTGTGCAGGGGCGGGGGGGGGGAGAAGCGGCAAAGAGAGCGAACAAACACAAGGACCGTTTGCAAGAGGAGGGGAGAAAAGAGAGAGTTAGGGAGGGCCAGAGGAGGGACGGGCAAAGGTAGAGAGGGGCGGGGGAGGGGAGGGAGCAAAGAGGGCACAGCAACATGCAGGAAAGATCTATATATAGACCCTTACGGACCACTATATGGAGGATTTCTCCATGCCTCAGCCACACCCTCACTCACACCCACACTGGCACACCGGCACACCCACACACCCACACACATGCACACCCACACACCCACACACGTGCACACCTACACGCATGCACACCCACACCACACACCCACACATCCACACACCCACACACCCACACACCCGCACACCCATACACCCCCACACCCACACACCCACACACCCCCACCTACACCCCCACACCCCGACACTCATACCCACACATTCACCCCTCAGTCCACGTACCCGTCCAGTCGGGGCAGCGAGTACGCGTGTGTGAACACCATGGTCAGCGCCCAAGCGAATTCCGGCCATGTCGCATGCGCTATGCCACCCTCCCACTGACACTCCCCCTCTCCCACACCACCAGCGTCACCAGCAGCAGCAGCGCCGAGATCAGGCTTCTCAGTCCTCTCTTTCTCCCTCTCCTGCTCCTCCTGCCGGCACATCTGCCACTGCATCCGAGCTTCCTCCAGCATCTCCCTCATTCGCCCCACCGTGCCCGCGTGCTGTATCTCGCTCTCCCAGTCCGCACCCTCCCTCAGTCCCAGCCACGGCAGACCCGCCCACCGAGGCAAGCACCGCAGGTACGGCCAAGCCTTGCCTGCGCTGCCCTGTTGGAGGTGGGGGCGTGTGGGGGGGGGGGGAGGAGAGGAGAGTGTCCAGGGAGGGCGGGAGAGGTGGGGGAGAAGAAGGAAAGCAGGCTGGTTGGGTTATGAGGTAGGGCGGGGAGGGTGGTGCGGAGAGCGGTAGAGGGTAGAGGGATTGGAAGGGAGGGATGAGGAGGACAGAAGCAACACAAGACCTCTAGGACTCCCAGTTCGGAACCATTCGAGCATCCCAGACATCCGTTGCTGTGACAGATCCCAAAGCTTTACCGCATTCCATTCCCCTTTGCCGCTGGCCTGGCTCCTATGCTCACCTCCCACACACCCCACAACTGTGGCCATCAACATCATCCGCCGCATCCGCCTCACCCTGCAACAACCTGTACTTCTTAGTCGCCAGGTGCAAGCCTCACCTTGTCGTATTCCCGTAGCAGCTTAGCCGCCAGGTGCACAGTCCACGGCACACCTGGGTACGGCAGGGGGTCCTCCACTCCTTCCACCAGCTTTTGAGGCGCCTCTTAAGGGGGTCGCCCAGCTTTCATTCGACTCAAAAGCAGGCTCTTCTGATCTGAGTCGCCTCAAGCCTCACCTTGCTGTATTCCCGTAGCAGCTTAGCCGCCAGGTGCACAGTCCACGGCGCCCCCGGGTACGGCAGGGGGTCGTCCTCGCCCTGCACCAGCGCAGATGAGTAATGGACGGTCGCGATCACCTCCCCTCGGTCCAGATCCCGCGCTGCGCGAATCCCCCGCTCCTCCTCCCCCCGTTCCCCTGAATCCTCCCCCCATGTGACCTGCACCTTCCTGGAAGGACCCGAGAGCTACAGAACGAACGGGGGAGACAAAAATGGGGCGAGGCGGAGGGTTAGGGGGAAGGGGAAGAGGCAAGGGATAGGAGGGCGGAAGCATAAGCGAGGGCGACAGGAGGTGCCACGGTGTCAGTCAGTTGCGCGAAAAGACGATGTAGAGAAGAGCAAAGGGCAAGGCGAAGACCAGAGGCCAGCAGAGGTCTCGCTCTTACCTCCTTTGCGCCGTGTGCGACAAGATACGATATGAACTCGTTGAACTCGTCGCCGCTGCACCACCATTGGTCGCCGACGTCGCCGAAAGTCGTCGTCTCGTTCAAGCCGTGTGCGACGCTCTGGCTTGCGCTGTCACTGCCAGAAGCCCCTCTGGTGCTAGTGCTGCCACTGCCACTGCTGGTGTCATTTTTAGGACAACCAGCAGCAGCACCGCTGCTGACAAGGGTCTTCAGAAATTCCTGTTGTCGCAGCCATTTCTCCCGCTGCTGCTGCTTTCCCGCCTCGCTGAAGTCGCCTGATCCCTCCCAATCTCGGGTCAAGTCCGCTGCGCTCACGCCGTCAACGGCCAGGCAGATGCTGGGAGCTGGCCGGCTAGCCGGCTGAATTGACTGCGGGGTGGACGTTGCTGTGACGGGCAGGAGTGAAAGTGGAAATGCTATGCCGCTCAAGACAGCCAGAAGGATCATGATATAAGGGGTGTAGCATTTCCAGAACGAAGAACGCGAGACGGCGAGATGCGAAGCTTCTGAGAGAAAACGGCGAGATCCAAGATAAGACCGGAGCCGCGCCATCGGGTCAGTTTGTTTTCTTGCTTTTATGAGCCGGATTTGGGATCCGAACCGAACCCGGCGGCTGCTCGCAGCCACGCGAACAACGAGCACGCTTGGTTTCGCAGAAGAGGCATTCAGCGCGCCACAGACAGCAGAAGAAACCTGCGCTGATCGCGGCTGGCAATGGGCCAAGGGCAGCTCGCAGAGGTGCTGGCGAATGCGAGGGAGAATTCACTTCACAGTACGACGTGAGAGCTTGTCTTCCAGGTGGAGGGGATAATGACGCCGCAGCAGGGGGAACGCGTGGACTGGCTTGGGTAGGGTGGGGTGTGAGTGTATTCAGGATCCAGATCGAAATGCGGCATTCCCTGGGTGAGTTGTGCGGTTGCGCCAGTGGGCAGGGCATGCCAGGTAGATCCAGGGTGCTGCAGGCGATGCAGGCGAAAAGCGAGAGTGTTACAGAACCCTGGTGAAGGTAGTTTGACGAAATCGACGAAATTTATCAAAAGCATGTGGTTTGTGTTAGGTTGGGTGGTCGAATCACTGAGCATAAGTTCATCACTACAATGGTGTTCTAATGGTTGATCAACTTCGTGACTTCTCTTGGCGCAAGCACCTCCATCCACTAATACCATCTAGGAAGATGGGCCTGTGTATGGGCCCTCGCATAAAGCGGATGCGATGGAATAGGGAAATTACAGCTAAAGGTGCAAGCCCCAGGAATCTAATGAGAAGCCATCCAGGCCTCAGGCGGGCCTAAAAATTTGAGATCTGCTGTGGCTGATGGTGACTGACTGGATGCTGGGGATGCAAGCCTTGTTGCTGCTGCTGCTGCTGCTGCTGCTGCTGGTATTGGTGCGGATGATGTGCCTGCTGTTGCTCCTGCTGCACCGGCTGATACTGCTGTTGCGCCTGCTGCTGTGGCTGCTGGTGATATTGGTATGGTTGCTGCTGCTGCTGATATTGGTGTTGCTGCTGCTGCTGATATTGGTGTTGCTGCTGTTGCTGATATTGGTGTTGTTGCTGCTGCTGCTGCTGCTGTTCCTGAAATTGGTGTTGCTGTTGATATTGATGCTGTCGCTGCTGTGGTGGCAGTGGTGGCTGCTGCTGCTTCATCTGATACTGTTGCGGCTGTTGTTGTTGTTGTTGTTGTTGTTGCTGCTGCTGCTGCTGCTGGTATTGCCGTTGCGGATGTTGCTGAGGTGGATGCTGATGTTGCTGCTGCTGCTGCTGCTGCAGTTTATGGAACTGAGGCTTTTGTGAATTTAATGGTTGCCCATGTTGCCCCATTTTCCCTAGAGAGTCGTGAGAGCCTCCAGTTCGATCAGATGACGCATCCTTCAGCTTCCTGCTTGCACCACACACCACATACCACACACCACACACCAAACCAGCCACTCCCCCCAGACACACAGACACACATGTGCACCGCACAAGTCCATACACACGCGCATGCACACAGACTCGCACATGAACACACATGTACGGACAGAGAAACAAAGAGAAGGTTTGTGAACGAGGGAGTAAGGGAGAGAAAAAGGGCCCCAAGCTGTGCGCCGGGACCCATTCATCCTCATGTGCCAGTCTTTTTCTGTACCCCTTCTGGGACCGTACGCGAGTGTGTGCGCATGTGTGCGTGAGTGTATGTGTTTGCGTACGTGTGAGTGTGTGGACGTTTGGGGTCAATGGCAGGACGAGCTCACGCAAGCATGCCGCCAGCTTACTTGTTACTAGGGACTGCAGACCCTTTGGGATGCGCTTCCCAGCCAGGGTGGTTCGCCAGCCAGCCAGCCAGATTCTTCATCATGGGCGCCGCCTGGCCGCTCAGCTTCCGCCCTTCCGCAGGGTTCCACACCGTCACTCTCTCCTCGTCCCCCACGTCTCCCAGCCGCACCAGGTTCTGCTCTATCGCAGGGACGCTTTCCGGCTTCTTGCGCTTCAGGCACCGGAAATGAGCCGCGTCTGTGCCGCACCCGGCCTTTTTTATTACCGCGCACACCTCACACCGCTTCCCGACCACCCGCACCCTCGGCGCGTCTACCCTCCGCTCGCCAGCGCTACCTCCCTTCGAGCCTTTGCCAGACGACACTCCGCCCCCAGCTCCCCCTCCGCCCATGCCTCCGCGGGATCCGCTACTGGCGCCTGTGAGATTGCTCTGCCCCATCCGCGCACTGGAGGCGGAGATTCCGCCATTGCTTGTCGCAACATTCACTGCAGGCGGTGCAGCGTCGCCACTCTCCCCCACGCCTTCCTCCCCTACAAGCTCCAGCCACCCGTTTTCGCCGTGACTGTTCCCACCTGCAGCTACTGGCCGTTGAGCGCTTTGCTGCTGCTGCCGCTGCTGTTGCTGCTGCTGCTGTGGATGGTACATGTTAGCCTGTGAGGGCGCCGCTTGGGTGCCCTGCTGCTGTTGTTGCCGGTAGGCGTTGCTCGGATCCTGCTGCTGCTGCTGCTGTTGATACTGTGGCTGCTGCTGCTGTTGTTGCTGCTGCAACTGCACTTGTTGCACCTGCTCTAGAGTGTATCCAGCGGCCAGCATCTGGGCCCGTTGGACGGCTTCCACGATCGCGTTGTTGGCGCTTTCCAGAAACTTCTTCCCGTACTCCGCGTACTCGGGCCCGCGGCTGAGAAAGGGCTCGCATATGGAGTTCAGATCCGCGAGCATGTCCGGAAGGGTGTAGGTGGTCGAGGTGGCTTTGGAGCGAATCGCACTGTGGGGGGGAGTGGGTCAGATCAGTCAGGGAAATATCCGGAGGGGATAGTGGGGGGGGAGGGGGGTGTATGGGGGGACGTTGAAAAACGTTATGGATTCACGGAAAATGACTTCTTTGGTGGAACTCACGAAGAGAGGCGAAGGATGCGAAAAAGGAAACCGAGGATCGAAGGATCTGGGAAGACCCCGAGTCGGACAAGGAGTGAGAAGATCTCCTTCCGCGATAACGTTTGTGAAGCATGAGGAGAATTCGATCGAGTCGAGTCAGGAAGACAGAAGATGCAATACGGAAGTGTGAACGAGATGGAGGAAACACCGTGGATAGGCATGGTATGGATCAGTGGATCAGACCAGAGGTAACGAGCGGCTCAATCCAGGGTCGGAATGGACGACAGAGGAGGTCAGCTGGGAAGGAAAAGAGGTCCAGCTGTACGAAGCCGAAAGTGATCTTCCAAGTGAAACGTACACTAAATTAAGGATCGTTCCTTGGTCGGACAGAAGGATTCCTGGCTCTAGAATGACTTTCATGGTGTCCAAACGAGCCATTTCCTCTAGTAGCTCTGCCATTTGATCCGGAGTCAGTTGAACGGGTGCTCCCCCATCCTCCTGCTGCTGCTGCGGCTCTCCTTGCTGCTGCTGCTGCTGCTGCGGAGGCGCTGTCTGCTGCTGCTGCTGTTGAAGATCGTACTGAGTTCCGTGCACTGTCTGCTCTTGTTGATGTGGTTGTTGCTGCTGTTGCTGCTGGTAAGGATGGGTTTGGCTCTCTGGTTGCTGGTACTGTTGCTGTTGCGGAGGTTCTTGTTGCGAATAGCCAGGAGCTGACTGTTGATACTGCTGTTGCTGATATGGCTGCTGCTGCTGATATTGCTGTTGTTGATACGGCTGCTGTTGATTGTACTGTTGCTGATGATCAGCACCCTGAGCTCCTGCGCGATCCGTCGCCGGGGGTTGCTGGTGCTGGTAATTCTGTTCGTGCGGCTGATCTGACGGTGCTTGATAAGCAACTTGCTGTGTCGATTGATCTGTATATGGCTGCTGCTGCTGCTGCTGCTGCTGCTGGATCGGCTGAGCGTGATATTGTTGATACTGGCTTGGATGGGAGTGGTCTTGGTATTGATAGTCTTCTGGAGTTGACATGTCTACTTTTAACGAAACACCGAGTATCGATGCTGCAGGACGGCCGAAATTGACAAGGCAGAGCAATACGACGCGGAAAATGAATCGTACTAACTAGCGAAGGAATGTATCTTTGTGTCGACGACGTCTAGCAGAGCACCGTGACCTGAAGGAAAGAACTAAGTTGGCTGGTCGAAGTGTGATTAGTAGTGGGAGCTCGGCAAGCAAGTGCAAGATTTGTCTAGAATCGCTGTCCATGTAAAATACGACCAACACCTTGACACAGGAGTCTCACCGTCGATCAGTTGGCGACATGATCAGTGGAAGGATGAGTGGGGAGGAGTGCAGGACAGAGCAGCAATTTCGGGACCTTGGAGGTGCCAGAACAGGAGGGCCATGGCATGCCATGCCACCATGCTAGAGTGGGGGGAGAGAGAGAGAAAGAGCCACGAGGTTCGGATGATGGGGATGGGCTGGGTTTGGAATCCACCCATCCATGTGGGTGGGTATGGATGGATTTTTATACCACACCCCACGCACTGTGACCAGGGATGAGTATGCATGGGCCGAAGCGAGAGGCATGGTGCTGACGGAGGGTTCCGTTGCCAAACCAATGTTGTTGCATCCTGAGTACAACTGATCCGGATTCCGGAAAGTAGGGTGGAAACGTTTCGACCTTCCAAAAGATATACTACAGAAACATCCACACCCACTTAGCGTAGCACTCAAGTTGCCTTCCCTCCCACCCCTTTCGGTTCCCCAACTACATTCCCACTTTCAATGATGATTCTGAAAGTCGGAATGTAACTACTTTCAACTACTTCTTCCTTCTTTTGCGCGTCAATTGTGTTCCCACATAGTTCCGTTAAGTGATTGAATGTTTATGAACTCGGAGGATTTGCTTGGTACTGCTCACACTCGGACGCTACCAAAAGCCTGCACGAAAAAACGCGATTTTCCCTTGGCTGATGGTGGTGAGCGGTTCGCGTCCACCAACACCCAACGTATTGCTGGGGTGGATCTTGTGGATGGGCTCGCGCACCTGTCATGGATGTGGTGGTGGTTTGCCCGATGACTCGTTGGTCCCATACCAAAGCCGACGGAACACGATGTGGAAGTGCTGAAACCAAACCAAAAGCTACTTTTGGTTGGGTTGTGGGTGACAGCTGTGGGCCGAGGCTGGTTGAAGTTCGGTTCGAAACAGCTGACTTCGTTCGGTTCGGGTGCAGGGAAATTCCGATGGGCCCTGCCCAGTGCATCTGCATACCCAACCGCACAGTGTGAGAGTTCACCTGATCAGGATTTGTCAGGGAACGCGTCGCGGAACCACAACCTGGAAATTGGATCGCGGTCAGAGAAATCCCAGATTGTACATCATGAGCGTTGGGCGACACCTGCGCCGGTAACCCTCGCACTCGAACTAGTTCCCAGTTCACCTCATCGCCACGGATCAGGGTGGTGTGCCACGTCTCGTACAGTAACACGGCCGACGGGGATGGAGGTCGTCGTGACGCGTCAAGAAACACACATTTGCTGTTGTGGCGGATAGCCAAAACCCCCCCCCAAATGCAAAAGCACAGTACACTAATTAGCACGACTGAATGAGGCTTAGCCACAATATATAATTTTACACGTGCACGAAAAAAACAGTAGGAACCTATGGTCACGTTTCACCAGGCACACCTGCCCCACCAACTACTGCTTCTGTACATCATAACCAAACTACAATCGTTATGCAACACCTAAGTGCAGTTGATCCAACCTCTCATTGCTATTGCACCTACGATGCTTGACTGCTGCAGTCATTCTCAATGCACGGCCTCTACCTGGCGTAACTGTGAAGGCCCGCTGGCACCGATCAGCAAAAGCCCGCATCACACGGGTGAACGACTTCCCGCCACTCCCAACAGCAGTGGTGTTGGTGGCGTTGCTGACACACATTCCGCTGCTGGCGCTGGTGCCCGTATCAGAGTCCTTGCTGGCACTGGGACTGCTTGAATTGCCACTGCTCTTGCCAGGTGAACAGGACTTGGTGCTGGTGTCACCGTCAGCGCAAGCATCAGCAGCAGCACCTGCAATGTTGTTGGCATCCGTGACGCTACTGCTGCTGTTGCTGGAACTCCCACAGGATATAGGAGCACTGTCGCTGCTGTCACTGCTAGGAGCCTTGTCGCTGCACCCAGAATCGGGCAGCTCGGCATGATGAACAGCACCATCATCACCTAGAGGAAGCACAATCTGCCTGAAAGCACCCCTGCTGTTAGGCAACGGCCTGGTTTTCAAACCAGCCAACGGGCCTGAACCCGGGGCTGATCCTGAGCCCGAACCTATGCTGCCGAACCCACTGGATAGCGGAAGAGCAAATGTTCCCGAGCCACCTCCACCCGCCAAGGTCCCAGAACCCCCAACAAGTGAGGAGAGCGCAGCAATGGTGGACGCAGAGCGCGGACGAGAGAAGGTTCCGCTGTGCCGACCGGAAGCAGAAGGATGGCTCGAGTTGGCAGTAACACCAGCGCCAATAATAGCCTGCGGCCTTGGCACGCCATGCATAGGCACCGGCGGCATGTGGTGGACGGCGGCAGGCGGGAGCTTTTGCACAGGAGGAAAGCCATAGATGTGCGGCGGGTACCGAGGCTGACTCGCACGGATCGGATGGGTCCCCATGCCAAGGTCGCCAGCGGTAGTGCCACCACCACCACCATTGACAGATGCATTGCCGGTCCCTCCTCCAATCTTAACGCCGCTTCTGGCGGCGGCGGAAGAGGAGGAGGAGGAGTCTGCGGGCTCGCACGTGATCCCGTAACGCACATTTCCAGACAACCCGTACCCATACTTGCACCCGTCGCCACCGCCGCCGCTGCTCGCGCCGAAGGCGGCGTCAGCGTCGGCGTCGAAGGCGGAATCGCTGGCGGTGGGGCTGCCGAGGCACGTGATGTCGAGCTCCGTGATGCGGATGTTGGCCTCGTCCAGCTTCCTGCACGACGCCTCCAGCTCTGCTCAGCAGCGCGAATCATGATCCGATTCATGCCGATTGGAGGGCGGAAGGGAGACACGAAGGACGGGGAAAAAAACGTGAGGAAGACTCGCGGATGGGGAACGATGGTAATGCGGAAGAGTGAAACGGATAAAGCTAGAGAGGTTTCTCCTCAGCGCCGACAAATGGAAAAAAGAGGCGTGAGTCAGAGAAATGCGCCGACGGGTTCAAATGCAGGGCCTACCTCGCCAATCGAAGGGGTTTGACAGCTTTGCGGCTTCCGCATCCGTGGCTGCCGACGGCATCATCATCATCGCCGTCGTCGGCGCCCTCCTAGTATTGTCGGCTCCGGCGGCTCCCGCGGCATGATTCGTCACGGACGTGATCGGCGGCGGCATTGACACTGCGGCCGCCGCATTGAGCGGATGCTCCTCGCTGACCGTCATGCTCGTCGTATTCAGTGGCACCATCATCATCGTCGACATCGGCATCGGCATCGGCATCGGCATCGGCATACGCATCGGCATCGGCATTCGGCCGGTGGTAGCAGTGGTAGTGTAGCTAGAAGCCAACGCGGGATTGAAATGGCTTCGCGTCGTTGATGCGGGACCCGCGCCGCCATAGAATGTTGCTGTTGATGATGATGATGCGTCGATGGCGTACTTCTGGTCCATGGCTTCGTACCCTGCATCGTCACCATAGCCGAATGCACAATCATCGTGAGACCACATCATCATATGACGGCTGCGGAGGGTGCGCGACGCAAGCGCGAGCGCGCGGCGAATTGCCGCGAACAAGTGCCGGAAACTTCACTGGAAAGCGCGCAAGGCGATAACGACCTAGAACTAACCGAACGTTGAGGAAAACGCGCCCTTCTATCCACACGATACCGGAAATCAGACGTACATTCGTCTGCGTCGTAGCGGTCCGGGCACCAGCTGGAGTAGCGGCACGACTGGTAGTCCATATACGTCGCCATGGCGGCTCTTCTCAGTCCGCGACTCGGAGTCGAAGAAAGAAGTAGCGACGACGCAGGGGAGAATCACGCTCCAGCGTCAGTCCTTCGTGCGCAATTTCACCAAATGCAATCCGGCCTGCCGAATCGATGAGACGTTTGTGTGCGGTAGCGGATTGCGCGCTACTGAGAGCACGTTTGGCTAGAAAAGTTGTCAAGCTCCCGCGTTCATAAAAAGGAGCTCAGGAAACGGGTCGGACAAGGAGAGCCGAGAGTTGGAAAGCTAGCTAACTTGATCGGAAGATTGTTGTTTCGTCAACGAGCGAGAAGCCTTCCAAGAGACGAAACCGGCAGAGATGAAGTGACAAATCTGAGGTGGGGAGCCGCGAATTTATGTTTGGCTGTGAGGCCAAGAGTGAGGTGTGCTGGGGGCGTGAGCTGGCTGGAAAATGAGGGCTGCGGGCGGGGTGCCGAGCTGAGCCGATGTGATGCATGCAAGCAAGCAACGCAGGAGGCAAAGGGCTTCGCTCACGAAGCGCAAGAGCGAGGAGGAAATTGCAAGTCAGGGTAATTGCACTGCTTTGTCAAGGAAAACAGGGTGAAATTTTAACCTATCCCTGCTTTTGACGCATTCAGAATATCGATACCGGTCCATGGACAGCCAAGCCAGAATAATCCCACGGCCAATTTCCGAGTACAGGATAGACCCGCCCTTTAAAGTCTAATGTAACCGTTCGCGCCCCTAGTAAAAAATTATCCCCTTGTCATTGTCAGGAGTGGCTTATTCCGAGCTTGACAAAACTCTTCCCTGCAAAACAGTCAAACAGGGCTACCCATCCTGGACGAGTTGGATCTCGGGCAGACTCGGAAACTGCAGGATGATCCCTAGGATATCGAGAGGCCTGGGGAGAGGGAGGGGGTAGGTTGGTTGACTGGAGCGTCTTTGCTTTCCCCACCGAGCTGCTCGAATATTTGATTGGATGGTGTGCTTGGAACTGACGTTAGATTGGTTGGAAGAAGGATTTCCGGGGATGGGAGGGATTGTTGGGGTTTGCCGAGCCGCATTTCTGGGTATGCCTGGTTTCTTGCTCCGAGGCCCTGGGCACCTGGTGTCGCCAACTGGTGGCGCTGCCTGCGCAGGGGAACGAGACTGCTGAGCTGGCGATGAATGAAACGCACAAAGGCGGGGAAGGGGGGGGTGGAGTGAGGTTGGAGGGATAGAGGAACAAGACAAGTTGAAGGACGAGTTTGGGTGAGTCGGTCCATGTCGCACAGTAACAGTTGAGATGATGATCAGCCAATGGTGGTTCAGTTAAGGGGACGAGTTGGTGGGGGTTGTGGCAGGGAGGGGGGGAGAGTGTGGGGGGAGAGAGGGGGGGAGAGAGGGGCGGGATGGGGTGGGGTGTGGGAAGAGGGGAGGGAGTGACTCAAATTCAAATCAAAGATTCGATGTTGGACAGGTCAAGCAATTGCCACCGGCCCCACCAAACCATGCCACTTGCTAACATAGTAATCACCCTTAATGTCAAGCAATTAAGAGTAACTTTTCAAGCGACTCCGTTTTTTTACAGTACGATTTTTTCCGAATCCGTCCAGCTCACAGAAACAATTTCGCGCGACTCCTTAGCCTAACGAGTACTTTTTTTTCGAATCCCTACGGGCTTTACTTGTAGCGGGGCAATCAGTAGGGGGTAGCGACCGCCCACCCCACATCCCTCCCCACCCCCGCCCCCCACTCGACCCCCCGGCCCAACCCCGCCTTAGGTAACTTGCTAGCCGAATTTGTAGTGGCCGATTCCTTTCGGTACCGGATTTTTTTGGGGGAATTCCATCTGTTAACGGGCGATCCTGAGGCGATTCTGTCCCCTTCCGGAATACCCTGGGGCTTAGCGAGAGGCCTGCACCAAACCCCCACACACACTGCAATTTTGCAAGGACTGGCCGATAGGGACTAGCGGTTTTTGTGTAGGATGTGATTTCTAGGGCATTCGTGAATGTGATTTCCGCCCGTGACTGCATGAGGATTACCTTTGGCCCCTGATGCTTCCGCATACAGTGCACATATGGCAGCACAGGGCTATGCCAGTTTGATTTTGCTGTGCTACTTTCAAACTGAAACAGACCGACTCTGAATGAAACAGAGCCTGCTGCTAGAATTCACATGGCCAGGCTGGAATAGGCAGCCAACACGCTTGCAGCACTGTAAACAAAACACGTGCAGGCAAAGACAAACGGACAGTGACACGAGGGTGTGAATTTGGCTGGCTAAAGTCCCTCTTGGGCAAAGCTGAACAGGCTGCCCAAATGCAACTCTTGGCCTAGTTTCGAATCAGGTTGCACCTGTAATGCTCTACAGTGCAGCACCTTTGCAAAACACATGCAATCGAGCTGTGCGGCAACGGCTGTTTTGTGAGCTGTGCGCCTTTTGCCCTTCAAATTTACGAAGCAGTGCAGCATCATCCCTTGACGGGCTCAACGTCATCCCTCGTAGGGCGAATGAATGTTGTGTTAATGTAGTCGAAAGCCAATAAATGCAAGCTTTTCCTCCAATCAGCTACGGCGAAACTTCTTGTAGAATCAAACATCTGGTTGAGGTGACCTTCCACGCAAGCAAAACGTACAAAACAACCCCGCCAACAAGGCAAATTTTGACGAATCATCCACGCTCGCCGTTGTCACACCCCCCTGATGTTCCAACCGGCATGTGTCATCGCAGTGGGGGTGTGGTTTGAAACAGGCATGGGATAATGGGCTCTTCGTTACTAGCTGGGAACCACTTCAAATAACGTGTTTTGTTTGGCCGACCACAGGTCCAACATTGGTTTTCAACATACCATGATTTTGTTTGGTTACTGTTTTTGCTTGTTTACTACTCCCGATGTTACATATTAAATCATGAGAGTTGGAAATACCTCAAGGACTTGAGCGTTTCTGAAGTATAATACTACACTCGAGTAAATGCCGTATCGGGTACGCGAGTCAACGGAGGTTACACGAAGAGGTTGGACGAAAGAACACGAAAGGACGAAACTCTCGAAGGGTCGCAACCGGAGGTTGCGACTGACCATTACAACTGCAAGGGTGGTAACCGAACCAACCATCGAGTCGCTGTGCGACTCGATAACCGTTCCTTCAACTGTATTCCACAACTGCTTTATCTTCCTATTTTCTACATATTACTGTGTGCTTGTTTCTTTTAATCAATCACTTGCTCTCACATACTAGTGCAAGGGTTCAACTACTCAAACTTCCACCGCACTACTCAAGTATCTTGTATAACTAGGACTTAGTCTCAGTAAAGATCCTAACGCCTTTTCTCAGCCCAACATGGTATGAGAGCTGGTCAGAGATCAAACTCCCACCAACAACGCTCTATCTACAATTAACACATCAACAAGCTTCATCGATTATAAGTCATGGTGAACAAATACAAGAAGATCTCTACGGGCTCACCCAACGCTCAAGACACTCAACCTGGAAACTCTGGACTACACACTTCAGGACTGCAAACCGAGACCGGCAGTGCTCAAGAGACAACAGGAAGGGCACCAGAAATGGTGACCCCATCACCCTCTTCAAGCGTAGACCCAAACCTTATGGAAAGGTTCTTCAGCTTCATGTCACACTTCGACAAGCAGCAGTAAACAAGGATACCTGCACATTCAACACAGAGCAACGGAGGAAACATGGGATTAGCGCCAATGAGCCTCGACAACTCATCGTTCGGGCGACACAATCAAGCGCCTACCTTTGCGCCTTATCACTCATCACCGGGGACGTTCGAGTTCATGCCGCCCCGTGCCCAACCAACAGCAGCTGCATCACAACAGACACCAAATGAGATATAGAGTCTCCAGGCGCAGTTTTCACATATGATCAATCTGCAGACATCCTCACCGTTCAACGGACACGACTTTTTTACCTGGAGCTTCGAGTTCGAGCTGCTAATCGAGGCCGCGCATCTCTTGGGATACTTCAATGGGTCCCTACCATTTCCAAGCAATGGCACTGCAAAGGAGCAGGAAATCTTCACTTATCAGTCGCTGCTGGCGTACACAGTTCTCCTGCGGAACGTGTCACCACAAGAACAACAAAGCATCAGAACGTAGTGGAGCTACGGAAACTCCGCGGAGCTCGCATGGCATCACCTCAAGTGTCTCTATCAAGCAAATGACAGCGTGACACAAAGCAGAATCATGCAGCAGTTGACAACAATACAAATGAAAACCGGGACAAAGGCGATGCAGTATAGGAGTCGCTGCCAGACACTCCGCGACCGCCTGCTTCGGTGCGGAGGTACAATAACTGAAGAAAGCTTCATGACACTCGTCCTTGCCAGGCTCGGGCCAGAATGGAGAACCACCCGCTCGCTTCTTCGCGCCCACGGACGAATTTCGGAGATGCACCTCTGCGCCGAGCTTCATGCTGAACAATAGAAGATGGTCCTTATTGAAGAAAGACAACCAAGAAACAAGCAGCAACCGTTAGTCTTCTATGCTCAATGAAGAAATGACAACTACAATCGATGGGACAGGCAGAATCGACACGACACCAATGGACTCACCATCGTGCCGCCGTTCTGCCACAACTGTCAGACATCCAGACACTCTAAGGTTAACTGCACACGCCCCCAAGTTTATCGTCTTGTAGACCCACAAGTCGGCTCCACTCAAGAAAGTCCGCCAAGACGTTCCTCTATATCTGCACAGGGCACACCGATTATCATCAATTGTACGGTACGCATCGACAACTGCGCACCCGAGTCACCACCCACTTACGCTCCAGACGAAGAAGAACTGCCGCTGCCGCGTTCACAAGGTCTTCAAGTCAACTCGACGTACGCTGCAGTCGCAAACGCCGAACCCACCGGGCGAAACACCTGGTTCTTGGACAACTGTTGCGGCCAACACATGTGTTCTTCCGGACGCTTCGTGCAACGAGAGCGATGCCTCAACCGCGATGTCATCATCACCGTCGCCAATAACGAAAACCTGAAAACAAACAGACAAGGAGTGGTTCAATTGCAGTCCATGGAGACAAATGTCATACTGCAACTCAACAAGGTTCTAATCGTCGACAACTTGGGATACAATCTGCTAAGCGTCAATCAGCTAATGGAAAAAGGGATTCACCTGGAATGCGACTCGAACGCCAACGAATTTCGTCTTTACCACGGGAAGGGCGGCCTCTTCATCGGTCGCGCTTTCCTGAAGTCGGTTGTATTTGTGTTGGATTTCGTCCCCCACCGCGGTGGCATCGTGTCGTTCGCCGCCTGGACGCACCCACCGGATCTTGATCCCGACTTCACCCCAAATGGATTCTGGTACTCCAACATCAAACCTGCAGCAGA